GGCCACGGTACAGCTGTACTGTAGCTCACCCCGCACCTCCAACCAGCCCCAACTTCCACCTCCAGTACTCGCTTTTCCGTAATACTCCTCAACATGGCGAACTTCAGCCTTGGAACCGCAACCGTCTCAGACGCGAACGAGCTAGGCCACCTCATGGCACTCGCGTACAAAAACGACCCTATCCAACGAAACCTCCTGCCCTTTGCCCTCCGCGGTGACTACTGGGGTGCGTGGCTCGCGCATGATTTTGCACGTGCGGGGGAGGTGTATTATAAAAGTACCGATGTGTCTAGCAGGTAGCTAAAACCGCTCCTTTTTCTATTTTCTTTCCTTTTCTCCTTAATCAGAACGTTTATTCAGGGGACGGGATTCTGATGAATTCTTATCTAGTAAAATCGTAGCTTTCGCCAAAGTCCGGTACCCGGGTCCTATAGATTCTAAAGGGGACTTTGAAGGAGAGCCGCCCGAGGGCACGGATATTCAGACATTAGTGCACTGGTTCGAGCAAATGGATGCGTATCATGAGAAACACGCCAGTTATGAGAAAGACTACTGTATCCCCTCCTCTCCCCCTCCACCCTTTCCCCTAAGGTAGCCCACCCCAAACTACTGTCCCTATCACTAACTGGTATAACCCAGATCTAAACGTCCTCTGTGTACACCCCTCATACCAGCGGCTCGGCTTGGGTAAAATGCTCCTAACGCGCTTCCTGGCTGATGCGGACAAGGAGCACGCTAGAGTCTATCTACAGGCTACGGAGCTTGGGCACCCGCTTTATCTGAAGTATGGATGGGTGGATATTGAGGATATGGTTACGCAGACGCCAGAAGGCCCGGTGGTCTGGAAATGTATGATGAGAGAGCCGGGAGATGGGGCTAAGGGTATAATCTGAGTGCTAATATGGAGGAGATTTGAGATTTCAGATACATGAATGAATGACATGGAAAGCCATTGTGGATAGTGCAAGCTTGTCTTGCCTTGTGTTTCTGTGTACAGAGTGGTGGTCTGAACACACGAGGACCTTGGTGTTGGGAGGGCAGTGTGGGACTGGAACCGTCTGTCATGTACACCCCTAAGCCCTAGTGTTCACTCTCCAAGCGCAGACTCAGCTGGTACCGAACTATACCATACCATGGCGATAGACGTGGTATCTGCAAGAAAAGCGGAGGTTACAAGAAAAGGGGTTCATTTCAGGGTCTGATTTGTGGAACTGGCGCTTGTCAGCGAGGGATGTAGTCGTGTAACCAGCTATCCATTTTGAGCCCTACCAAAGCTGGGTGGAATTTTTGACTGGCCACGAGGATTTCTGGTAGATGCACTCACTTGTAGTTACACCATTGGCTGGCCTTGCACCACCACACGAAAACAAATTGTGATTAATCCCATTCCTAAAGGATGCCAAATGCACGAACACGGGAGAGGCAAAAGGTCTTTTTGTCCACGCCGACTAGTACTGTAAACGGAGTGATCCTGTCCAGTCTCATCCGGCGAAAGTGTACACGGTACAGATGCCAGCTCACTGTGGCACCGTGCCCTGAAAAACGTAATGGGATAACATGCCATCGGTGAGAAAACTGCTTGTTCACTGTCCGACACTGCTCTGGAACAACCAAGAATCGTAGCATACTTGCATGATGACTGCAGAACCCCCACAAATTGAGCTAATGCGAAGGGATGGAAAGCGTGAGAAGGCGGCTGCGCGCATGGGCAAATAGTCATGTGATGTCCACGAAGGGAAAACAAACGTTGTTTGGGTGCAGCTTGTGGCATAATCGGTTGGGTAATATGGCTGTCAGATATGCATGTAAGCATGGACTAGGGGTCTTGTACTGCGTCACTTTATTAGGTACTTGTGCAGTACGTGCTGAACATACCATAGGACGTACGCTAACTAGACTGAGTGACACTTCGAAACGACAGAAAGGGGGTTTTCGGGTTTTCGTGTAACGGCACGTTCGACCCAAGCAGTTATTCACATATTGTGCCGCGAACAATGCACAATATTGCATGAGTACCCCAGAAACTACCATATTTCCGGACATGAAGCCAAAATGATGAAAAAGTCAAACTAAACAAGCCAATGAAATTGCCAGTAGAAGTAGAACTGCGCTTTTATGTTGCATGGCAGCCTCACTTGTTGCTGGTGTAGCAGTTGAGTATTTTTTACATCTGCGCAAATATGGCTATATATTTCGTCCCTCGCATCGATCTCCTGGATAAATAATCTTGAAACAGTACTACCGTTGATATGTAAGCAATCCACACGCTCATAGCTTACTCGACCCCAGAAGACTTGACCCAAAGAGAACTCTGAAGATTATTCGAACATCAAATGGCACAGACCGAGCGCAAGGAACGTACAGATAAATTTGGCCACGTGTAAGCAATACATCGCCGAACTTTTGGAGAACCTGCTGATAATTCTTCGTGAAGTATTCAATCACCAATTCCAACACTCTCCGAACAACTTGCAGAACGAGATGTTGAAACACATCAGCAGCTCGCCGGAAAGACCAACAACTACGAGCAGGGGCAGCAACTTATGAGGTGGGCATATGAGACGTCCACGACGAAGTTGACCTTGTCAGAGAAGCTGGAGAAATCGAAATGGGAAGCCACGAGGGCTGAAAACTTGTAGGAGTAGGAAATTGCTGCTGCATTACATGTTGGTGAAGCCATCCCCGAAGAAAGCATGGGAAATTGAATGCACTTGCTTGTATAGTGGGAATTTGAAGTACCCCAACAACATTTTAGTAAGAATGATAGTACGGAAGAAATGCAATATAGACTGACCAAAAAGAATCAATCACACGTCATCACGTGCACGCATAGGATTTCCCCTTTTGTCGATACAGTCCAGTCTAGTAGTGGAAGCGTTATGTGGCAGCGGCAGTAGTCTGTCTGGTTACTGCTTCATCTATCTGCTTATCGCTCCGATACCCTCGAAAGTGGGGAGTCTTAGGCTTGGGAAAAGGTCGTGATAAGTCCATATATTTCTTTCCGCATTTGCACTATAAAAAACATGGATGAGATCGACGCATTCTTACTCGACAAACCTCGCATCTGATGTCCCCGAGAAGTCTACGTATCGCGATTCTAGATTGCGATACGCCCGTACCAAATGTGTACTCAGAGAGAGGACTTTACAGTGACATCTTCGCAGGTTTACTCCGAAATGCAGCCAGTACTAGCCCAGAACTCTCTGAGTTGAAACTCGAGTTCAGCAAATTTGATTCTGTCCTTGGCCAGTTTCCCTCACTTGAAGAGCTCCTGACTCTGAATGGCATGATTATCACTGGATCAGGTAGGTTCATGTTGCCATGCCCCCAAAGCCAAGACATGGATTATGGAACAATTCAAGAACAAGACCCTTGCTGAACGTCAATACAGCAGCTTCAGTATACGACGATGCACCTTGGATCACCTCCCTTACAGACTTCTGCAGAAGTACTTTATGTTTTTCTCCGCTGTAGACACCAACTAATAACAAGACCAGAAATTTATACCTCTCACCCTAGGATCAAGATCTTTGGCTCCTGCTTTGGCCACCAGCTTCTCTGCCACATACTCTTCTCACCACTCGAAAAGAACGTTGTCTGCCGGGACCCAAAAGGCTGGGAGCTAGGTGTGCACCCCACTACTCTCTCCTCAGCATTCATCTCCAACTTCGGCCCCGTGACATCGAATCCTCTTCATGCAGATCAATTGCGCTTGCAATTCGTCCACGCGGATCACGTCGACTTGTCTGGGCTGCCCGAGGGCTTCCACTCCATTGGGAGCTCGCAACACTGTTCTCTGCAGGGGGTCTGGGAGAAGGGAAGGGTGTTGACGTATCAGGGACATGCTGAGTTTGATAGGTTTGTGAATGGAGAAACTGTAAAGGTGTTTGGAAAGGCAGTTTGGAATGAGACGTTCATGGAGCAGTCGTTGAAAGCTGTGGATGCGCAAGACGACGCTATTTGGGCTGCACAGGTTATGTTGAGATTCTTCTTGGAGGAGAGGGAGGAGAGGGAGGAGAGGGAAGAGAGAATCTATAGAGGTAAAAGGATTGACTAGGAAAGTTGAGGATGGTGTTATTGATAGCTATCTAGGAACCTACGGTAGCTAGAGGTGGCTGGTGGGAGCCGAATGTCCCATCCCCATCCCATATTATACCGTAATCTAAGCTAGCGGCCGCAACCATCTGGTGTCCATTATTATGAAATGCTGACCTCGAGATGACCTCGAGCTGACCTATCCGGCACGGTTCCGCACCGCAATCTATTCCTATTTCCCTCCCTAATTGTACATACGTCTAGAATAAAGACAAGGTTTGACAACCACCTGCTACCTACCCTTTGCTACACATATCTTGCTATATATATATAACTTACAGTGCTTGATCTGTATGCAGTTCCGCAACACCACCACAGCCTTTCTCCTCTCAGCAGCGAGACTATTCCAGCAGCCTACTTTCCACAACCTACCTACCTGTTCCCTCAACCAAACATCGCCCTCCCACTACAGCACCATGGCTCGCGCCCCCGTAATCTCAGTCTGCCATGGCGGCGGCCCCATGCCCCTCATGAACGACCCCGACCACTATGAGCTCATCAAATCCATGACCACCAAAATCCCCTCCGTCTTGGGTCTCGACACCCCTTCCGCACCACGAGCCATTGTACTCGTAACCGCGCACTGGAGCGAGCGCAGACCGACCATCAGCAATGGAAAGAAGCATAAGCTGTATTACGATTATGGCGGGTTTCCGCCCGAGACATATAAGTTGAAGTACGACGCGCCAGGCAGTCCGGAGGTGGCAGCGCAGGTGTATGAGCTGCTTGAGAACGCGGGGATGAGTCCTGAGATGGATGGTGAGAGAGGTATATACCCTTCCCCTAGACAAAACTTGAAGGAGGAATAGTGCTGATAGATAGTAGGATGGGATCACGGAGTATTCGTCCCCATGCTGCTCATCAACCCTAAAGCCGACATCCCAGTAATCCAGCTCTCCGTCCTCTCTACCAACTCTCCCGCCCAACACTATGCCATGGGTCAAGCGCTAGCGCCCCTCCGCGACTCGGGCGTCGCCATCATCGGCTCAGGAATGCCTACCTTCCACAACCTGCGTCTCATGTTTTCCGGGGGCACGAATGATCCGGGGTTCAAGAAGAGGAATAAGGAGTGGAGTGACAGACTTACTGCGACTGTGAAAACAGAGGATGTGGGGGAGAGGGCCAAGGCGCTGGAGGGCTGGAGGGAGTGGGTTGGTGCTAAAGAGGCACATCCTATTGGTGGGGAAGAGCACTTTTTACCATTGATTGTGTGTGCGGGTGCTGGGGGTCAAGGGAAGGCGGAGGCATTTGGGGATGCTATGATGGGGACGAAACAGTTTTCATACTATTGGACATAAGAAGGCATAGAATGGCTAAGCGGAGAGCAATGCTCGTAATACTAGAATTCATCATGTTCAAACATTCTAGGTATTGCGAAACACTCTGAATGAAGCTCCTGTTCTTCACGGGCTGAATCAAGGCACCACTCTGTCTCGTTCTCCTATGATGTTCTGAATACGGCTTTCGATCACTTCAACCAGCCTACTTCTTTCCCCTATCTCTCCTCCCACCATCCAAAGCCTTCAACCGCTTCTGAAAACCCTGCCCAACCTCCACCCCACCTCCGCTCCCCTTCGGCCCATCCTCATTAGACCTCTTGCGACTCTTCTCTAACACATTTCGTCCCTCCCCATCCTTCCTCTTAGTTAACCTTTCGATACGATCAATGCCCTCCCCAAGGCCCCTCCACTCTTCCCCACCATACCCCGCATCCTTCCCACCCTTATGCTTGGCCCTCTCCTTCTTACTCTCCTTTGGCAATCGCACGTAATTCTTCTCCTCATACTCCTTCCTCTCAGCCTCATCATTCAGTTGTTTCTCACTCTTTCTTCTTCGGCCTCCAGCAATCGTAGTGGTTCCTATACTAGGCTCTGCGAACGGAGCAGCGGAGAGCTCTGTATTGACGAATTCCTCGAGCGTAGCTGATTTGTTGGCTTTCTTGTCCGTCTTCTCTCGTGGTCCGGTGGTGGTAGGCATAGCAGTAGCTTGAATACGAGGCGGTTTGTACACTCCATCTCTTGCACTTTCTCTATCATCTGCGCCTACTGCGACCCGGGTAAATGCAGTTGGATTGGGCATGTGTTGCTGGTCGTCGATTTGGTCAAGGGCAGCGCCGTTGTCTAGTTCTGCATCGCCATCCTCAGACCCCTCCTCTTCTGAACTATCATCATCCCGAGACAGCTTCCCATTCATCTTAGGTTTTGAGGCATCTTCAATTCGTTTCGAATCCTCAGCCGCGCGCAGCACTTTGTCGATTTGGTACTTCAGACGGTTTTCCAGTGGCCGCACTCCCTTCTCTAGGTAGACTTGTAATTCGACAAGTTTGTTGACGACATGTTCGTCTAAAGCTTCAGCTTCCTCCTCATCGTCCGAGCTGCTGCTCTTGCGATTTCGTAGTTTGAGGAGAATAAGGAAGACTAGGTTTTGTAGGTACGAGAGAAAAAGCTCGTTCTTGACATCGAGCAGGGAGATTCCATCTTTAGGGGGAATCGGCGCGGATAACTTTTCTGTTGATTCAGATGCTGATGACAATGCCTGCGTGAGACTTTCCAGCAATGCCGGGAAAGAGGTTTGTGGTGCCATTCTTTGTGGTTGTTTGTATTATTTGAAAATACAAGTGCTTGGCTTGGCAGGAAAATAAATTTCGACAAGGGAAGAGGAAGAGCCACCAGCACCAGTCGTCGGTGAAACGATTCTCCGCAACCTTAAAAAGGAGCCAGATATTTGGATCCGGCGAGAGCTACAACACGCGTCTTATAATTACTTTATTCTACCAAGTACACGCACACCGCAATCCTCACTTTCAGAGATCCTTTACACACACGTCTTGGTCCGATCTGCTCTCATATGACTGAATAATACTACCCACATTTTCCGTGGCTCTGACTGTCCAGATAGGCCCGGTCTAAAACCCCGTCATTCGAACAAGTGAGTAAGCTCTTTTAGGACACCTAGTGCACCCCTGGAATATAATCCAAATCCTTCAAAACTTCACATTTCTACATTTCTATCTCCCGCCAAACTTTTACTCATTTCTGCCTTCATAACACAGATACATCTACCACCCTCAATCACAATGCGTTTACGAGACCTCTCGCCCTCCGCGGCGCTCCTAGCGACACTCCTCGCGGCCCCAGAACTATCAACCGCCTTCTACCTCCCAGGTGTTGCACCAACCTCATACAAAGAAGGAGACAAAGTGCCACTGAACGTAAATCGCCTCACGCCAGTCGGGTCGGGGACAGAAGGAACTCTGCGATCTGTTGTATCCTTCGATTACTACCATCCCGCCTTTCACTTCTGCAGACCGGAGCCAGAACCGAAATATGTCTCTGAGAGCTTGGGAAGCATATTATTTGGCGACCGGATAATGACTTCGCCTTTCGATCTCAAGATGCTACATAACGACACGTGCGTAATGCTATGCGACGATGTGAAGTTCGACCAGCCCTCGGCGCATTTCGTCAACCGGAGGATAGCTCAGGGGTTCGCGTTGAATTGGCTTATTGATGGTTTACCGGCTGGACAGTTGATCGAGGATGAGGTTACGCAGACAAAATTCTATAGCCAAGGATTTGCATTGGGATCGAATGACGACAAGGAGATGCACCTGAACAATCACTACGACATTATTATCGACTACCATCAAGTGACGGAAGGGAATTATCGCGTGGTCGGAGTCATTGTTCAACCGGATTCGAGATCGACAAAGGCGGATGGTGATGGAGGCGCTATTAATTCCCAAGGACATTGTGGATGGGGAAGCCCGCCTCTCACGCTGTCGGAAACTGGGGAGACAGTTACCTCTTTCACGTATGGCATATACTGGAGAGAATCGCCAACTGCTTGGGCTACGAGGTGGGATAAATACTTGCACGTATTTGACCCCAAGATTCACTGGTTCTCGCTCATCAATTCTGCTGTCATTGTTGTCTTCTTGACTATCACGGTAGTCTCGATTCTTCTGCGGACATTGAGAAAGGATATTCAGAGATATAACCGCTTGGACTCGATCAATCTAGACGACTTGTCTGGAACATCTGCGGTTGAAGATGGTGTACAAGAAGATTCTGGCTGGAAACTGGTCCACGGGGATGTTTTCCGTACCCCTAACTCACCCCTTATTCTGAGTGTGTTCCTTGGCAATGGTGCCCAGCTCTTCGTCATGACTGGCTTCACCATTGCCTTTGCACTTCTCGGATTCCTATCTCCCTCAAACCGTGGATCACTAGGAACTATTATGGTGCTCCTCTATACAGTTCTTGGCTTCATCGGCGGTTACACCTCAGCACGTGTCTACAAAGCCTTCGGCGGCGAAGCCTGGAAGCTCAACATTGCCCTAACTCCCCTCTTAGTCCCCGGAATCGTCTTCAGCACCTTCTTCCTGCTGAACCTCTTCCTCTGGGCCAAGGAATCCTCAGGCGCCGTCCCCTTCACAACCATGCTCGTCATCGTATGCATCTGGTTCCTTATCTCCGTTCCCCTCTCCTTTGCAGGCTCTTGGGTCGGTTTCCGCCAACCCGCCATCCAAGCCCCCGTCCGCACCAACCAGATCCCGCGTCAAATCCCCCCAAGCACAACATACATGCGTCCCATCCCGTCGATGCTCCTCGTAGGCATCTTACCCTTTGGAGCCATCTTCGTCGAGCTCTACTTCATCATGTCTTCCATCTGGTTCAGCAAGGTCTACTACATGTTCGGCTTCCTGTTTCTCTGCTATGGCCTCATGATAATAACGTGTGCGGCTGTCACGGTGCTCATGGTCTATTTCTTGCTTTGTAGTGAGAATTATCACTGGCACTGGAGGGCATTCATGACTGCCGGCGCCTCGGCATTCTACGTCTTTGCCAATGCGCTGATTTATTGGGTCACTAAATTACAGCTCGGTGGACTAGCTGGGAGCGTGCTGTATATTGGATATAGCGCATTGATTTCTTTCTTGTTCTTTATTCTCACTGGTACGTCATCCCTTCCCATATTTCCTCCCCTGAAACACATACACCCCTCAATACCATACTAATTTACACCTTCTAGGCTCCATTGGCTTCTTCGCTAGCTGGGCATTCGTGCAGAAGATCTACGGATCCATCAAAATCGACTAGATTAGAAACGCGCATATCCCAGTTATAATGATATGCTGGAATAGAATGGAAAGGAGAAAGGCCGAGTCGAGGATCGGAATCAGGATGGGATTGGTGGGGTATGGGAGGGAATGTATAGTAGTATATAGTTATCTTTGAGGCATTTTCTGTGGGGCGAGCGTTATGGACGGCGTCTTGGTGTGATGCCATGCTTTTGCGTGTATGGTAGGTAGACAATGAGATTTTTACCTTGGGCTGCATTTTAATTCTCTGTCTTGTCTTGGCTTGTGGTTCTTGGGGGGTAAATTTATGGTAGACATTTGTATGGTATGAATTATGCGCAAGCCTTTTCCTTGGAGGAGAGTTAAGCATTTTCCTCGATGGCTCTTGCGTAGAATACAAAAAGGATTGTTCTTCAATATCTTATATGTTTGCATACATAGTCTCATTTTACATTATCAATAACCCTGATTAAGCTCTCAATCATCCTCGTCGTCATCATCAAAAGTCTCCAACTGAAACGCCTTCGCCTTCTCCTGCGCATGCACTCTCACTTCCCCACCCCCCAACACTACTCATCCTCCTCTCCACCTGCCTTCTCCTCTCCTCGCCCTCTTCCCTCGCCCTATCCTCCTCCTCCTGGATCCTCTTCCGCTCAACCTCCAACTCCGCACTCTTCGCGGGATCAAACGTAGCCGGGTCAACACCCGTATCAACTAAGATCTGTATACTAGCCAGCGCGCCCCTTCGAATCGTCTCTTCGTTCGGCCACGGCACGAACATGTCGGGCGGCGGGTTCAACCAGCGTGAATACTCGGTCGGTAGAGCTGTGTTGTTGCTGGCATTTGTGGTCTGAGAAACTTGCGGCTGCGCTCCACTTGCACCTCCAATTCCAATTGGTGTCCCGCTATCAACATCCATCTGCATATCCCTCTCCCTCTCCCTCTCCGCACCATTCACAGGCGTCGCAGTCCCATTTGTCTGTGTCCCAGACTTGCTCTCCCTCGGCGTATTCGCACCTGTCTCTTCCGCGCTACCAGATTGCTGCGCGCTCGCGCTCTCGCCCTCGCGGTACGAAGTCGGGAGTGTGAATTTGCTGATCCGCCGCGCGTAAGACAGCAGCTCCGAGTACGAGACTGGGTTTGTGGAGGTCGAGGGCGGGAAGCTGGTTGAGGGCGTGGAGAGGAGGGCGCTGCGGGTGGTGGTTAGGAGGATGAGCGTTTCTTTGATCTGCGTATCGAGGTCTTGGGATGTGGCTTTTAGGGACAGGATCTTGGCGTGGTTGGATTGGTGGGTTGATACTGCAAGAGAGTTAGTGGGTATAGGGCGCTGAGTGCTGAGTGCTGAGTGCCGAGTCCTGAGTGCTGTGAAAAGGAGAGGGAAGAGAAGGGAGGACTTGCATTGTTCTAGTCCTTGAGTGAGCTCTGCGTCTGCGGTTACTAGGTCGTTTGCGAGGGCTGGTGCGGGATTGTAGGTTGATATTGAGGTTATTAATGTCGCCAATGCCTTCTCTACACGCTCGAATCGGCGGTCGATTATTTCGTCCATGGTGTGCTATTCCTGTGAAAATATATGAAGCTACAAGTAAACAAAGAAAGAGTTGACTCGCGACAGCTACCGGTCTGGGCTGTGCTTGTAAGGCTTAGCGCGTAGTGTCATGTGATCAGCCCCTTAATATTGTTTTCGCGTTTTGTGCAAGTTGCAGCGTGCATTCCCAAAGAAGAAGGCATCACGCCGTGTCCGACCACAAACGTCTCGTTCATCACAGCAGTGAACTTTTCACGTAAACTGCATCCGTGTTCCTCCTACTTCTGTCTATAGTGCATTGCGGCTGAGGAGCTAAGAAGCCTATGACTCCATAGTTTCTATACTCCGCGCCACTCAAAAAACGTGGATTTAGGATCTAATTATTCCTTACGGTTCTAGGCCTTTACACCAGGGTAAACAGCCAGTTATATGTGCAGGTTCTCTATTATATGTAAAGGGATTGGACACCTTAAACCGGACCCCTACACGCAAATCATTTGCTGCTCAGTGGTAGCTAGGAACGTTTTGCCATAAATATAGACATTTTTGAGTACTAAGTCCAGAAATGCATAAAACCCCCAGCTTTTACACTTGTAAGCATTCGCTCCGACGTGTTAACCCCTTCTATTCACGTACTTGGGAGTGTTATACTTAAATAAAAGGCAAGTACCTCAATCATATCATTCTTCCAAAACTCAATCTCGTCTTGCTTCTTGTCTAACCTAACTTTCTTTCGTTGTTCTGCTTTGTATTTCCAGCCTCACATTTTACATCCATATACCCCCTGAACATCTAGTCCCACGAAATGGGTCAAAAGTCTGCCAACATCACCAAGCAATGGGCAGATAGTCCTTTCGCGTTGATCGAGACACCAAGAAAGAGACATGGTGTGAGTACCTCGATCTCAATCGGGCAGAAGACAAACTCACACCTTTCAGATCACCGACCCCTCAAAAGCCCACGGTGCGATCAATGCCGCAACAGAGATGTGTTTAGTCCATAACGTCTTAATTCGTCATCTGAACTGCATATACCTACAAGCACCTAATGTTAAACTGGACAAAGACATCGCCGACTTCGCTACATTTATCCATGCGTGGTGTGTCATTCTCGAAGGACACCACCACACCGAAGAGACACTTTTCTTCCCCTGGCTAGAGGATTATATTGGTATCAAGGACCACATGGGGAAGAATATCGAACAACACCATGCTTTCCATCCAGGCCTGAAAGAACTAGATGATTACGCTACTGGTCTGACAGCAGGCAAAGAGACGTACGATGGCGCGAATGTCCGGAAGATTATTGATAACTTCGGCCCTATCTTGGCACAGCATCTGAAAGAGGAAGTCGAGAGCTTGGAAGCGCTGGAAGAATTCGGTGACAAGATTGACTGGGTGACGTGGGGCAAAAGAGTTAGTGACCATGCTGTCAAGCATGGTGACACGGTAAGTTTACATTGCACAGATTGATTTTGAGAAGCTTGTACACTGACTGACTATTCTGAAGGATATTGGGATCCCAATGTTTGTTACGAACATTGACTATTCTTTCGAAGCCCCAATACATGTGACCGTTTGGCCACCGTGGCCATGGGTTGCTGGTGTGCTCTTTCGGTGGGTGTATATTCGTAAGCGGAAGGCTGTCTGTAGGTTTTCATCGTGTGATTCATATGGCATGCCGAAGGAGTTGGAATTTGTATGATCCATTGAGTAAGCGTGAGGGTGCGCTTTGCAAAGGATATTCGTCGAAGTTGCGAAATTGTATGTGTTACAGGTTCCTGGTGAGGCTCGCATTGCTCATGGGCATGGAGTGGGTGACTTCCCACCTATATGTTTTGGATATGAAGCATATTAGTCTATCTGGTTATCACAATACAATTGTAAACTTACGGTCCTAACTTATTGGTTCATGACGAGTGCAATTCCCATTCCAATCCAATCCCAATTTCAATTTCAATTCCAATGACTTTCCCAGAATCTAGAGGTGATCATCTCGTGATTCTTCTCTGCTTTCAAAGAATCATAAGAGGCTACTATACCCTCATCCGGTATCTTCGGGGTAGAGAGCTTTTACCCCACTAATTACTCGACAAGGCGCGCGCCGCAATTCCATGGAGCTCTCCGACACAGGCTAGGTTCAGGCTCTTGGAACGAATCTCTCACCAGATGAGCGTTTCGTATGGTGTCAGCCCAAAAAATCAGTAATTGAAGCAAGCCTCTCCATGACAGCTTGGCGTGTCACACCTGTGAATCGGCAGTAGAAAAGGGGAAGGCGGCACGTGATGGAAAGTCGTACCGGAGGAACTGTGCCACATCTGAAACAGCAGCCGCGTTTAAACTACTTGTAGAAGCTGCAGTGCAGTGCAGAGATCAGCAAGATGGAAAGATTGGGATATAAATCAAGCTGCAATTGGCATGAATGAATGTACTATAGAAGAGGAAGTTCTTTTAACAAGCGCCGCGCCCAGACTTTACGGAGTAGATTAATATAAAAATAGCATAGCCAGCCCCTCGAGACGGTACGGTGACCAACAAAACCAGCCTGCCCCTCCTCCCCTCACTTCCTCTGCCTCTGGCTCTGCCCGCAGTTATTCGCCTGAGTCGCATCACCACCACCTACCACCAGCTCTACCCTACCCCTACCTACCAACCCTACCACTCCACCCTGACAAACCTAAAGACGAGACTTACCTGACCTTGACCTTCCCTTGCCTCCCTCCCTTCCCACGCAGCGGCCTTCTAGTTTCTATCTAGCCACAAGACCAGCGACTCTCCGGCATTCACCACAGCACAGCACGGCCCTGACGTAACCCGCCCTGTCCTGCCATTCCATCCATTCACTCTCCACGAGTACAGGAGTCACGACGATCAGCTCCGAGACCCTCTACCTATACCCCTCGGCCCATACCGTGTGCGCGACAACGACACTTCGAACAAGGAAGAGGAAGAGTATACTGGTATGATCTCCGCGCTCTACCCCGCTTACTGCAATGAATTAGCTCTGACTGTCATCTTTTCAACCAGATAGGTAGCTATCAGGCTCCCGCGTCCTCCGTCCTCAAAACTCGATCGCATCGACGTCGCATAGAACACTTTGATATTGCTGTGGAAGATCTGAGGAGACTTATCCCGCAAAGATGGGAAAATCGTAAGTCATTATTTTACATCTTGAGTGGCGCAAGGCTGGCGACGAGGCCGCAAACGCCGGACTGGAACGTTTGCCCTGGTCATGAACCTGATACCGCCTCGAGACTCGAATGTCCAGGAGCTGGATCGAGGATCACTCCTCTGCACCAACCGAATTCCATTTGCAATTGCATGCACGGCCGTCGTGGAGGGGTTCAGCATGTGCCCTAAAGCCGGAGCTCCCGCCTCTCGGATATCGCTGCATTGGAGAGAAGAGCGCAGGAATACAGCAAGCTTAGGGACTCTTTTGGTTGAGGCTTGGTTTGGTTTCTACCAGCGCAAGTTCAATGATCAAATACTTCGTCAACAAAGCCTCTGCTCCTCTGCCGGGCTCTTCATAACCCGAGATCATCAAATGGCATTGGTAGTATGTTCAACTTCGCGCTCTCTACAAAAATGCGGCCTTTTGCTCTGAACGATTCACCCGGAGTTTCGAGTTTGTGAGGGGTTTTGCAAGAGCATTGATAGCCAGATGCACGTCTCAATGCCTTTGAAACTCCCATCGCAACTGTACGAGCCATTGATCAAGCGGACCTCTGCTGGAGAACAGTCGAACTTAGCCCACCTCTGCTCTACGAAGCTCTCGATTCGGAAGCCTTGCCCATGTCTTTGCGCATTTATCTACTGACCACCTGCTGACCAAAATACAGACAGAGCAAGCTCTCCCAGGAGCAATTGAGTGAACTTCAGCGATCCACCCACTTCGACAAGAAGGAATTGCAGCAATGGTACAAAGGCACGTGTCTATCTGTACCCCTGAAGATCCCTCGCTAACTTCTTTCAGGCTTCTTGAAGGACTGTCCATCTGGCATGCTCACCAAAGAAGAGTTCCAAAAGATCTACAGACAATTCTTTCCATTCGGAGATCCTTCCTCATTTGCCGACTACGTCTTCAATGTCTTCGATAGCGATAAATCCGGCTCGATCGATTTCAAAGAATTCATCTGCGCTCTCAGCGTGACGAGCAGGGGCAAGATGGAAGATAAGCTTGATTGGGCATTCCAATTATACGATATTGATGGGGATGGCAAGATCAGCTACGATGAGATGCTTGCAATTGTTGAGGCTATCTACAAGATGGTGAGTTTAGCATTATTGGGGGAGCTAGCGTCAATTCTAGCTCCAGTCTTCAGCCAAACATTCGAATCAATATTAACATCCACAGGTCGGATCCATGGTTAAACTCCCCGCCGACGAAGACACACCCGAAAAGCGCGTCCGGAAAATCTTTCGCATGATGGATAAAGATGAGAACGGCAGCTTAGATATGGAAGAGTTCAAGGAAGGCAGCAAGAGAGATGAGACCATAGTATCCGCGCTGTCTCTTTACGACGGCCTTGTTTGATTTCTTTTTGCGCTGTGATAAGGGCTCTTCTCTAGCATCATACTTTTTTCGATGGTGCGCAATTGAATAGCAAAGACACAATTTCCTTGATGTATCAGCATGGCTTGGTTGGGGTTCTCTTTTTTGTCTTGGCCTAGATACCTATCTTAGGAACGAATGATGCGCAATGAAAATGGTATTTCGAAATTTGATGGCCTCGTCTCGGCCAAGACGCTTTGATTTGATTTCTCTGTTCATTCAAAGCCGTACTCAAGCACTTGACATATTCACATGCCTGATAAACAAACCCGGGATCACTCATACAGCTCCTGCATGACAACACTTACTTTATCACCCTTCCCTCTCTCCCTCCTTCTCCATATAGCTTATTAATATAATAGTACCCATGCTGCCTTTGACGATACATAGAAAGAAAGAAAGAAAGAGGGGATTTTTGGAAAAGCGGTTGTGGGTGGTTGGTATGCCTAGCCCTTGCACTTGAAATTGCATTAAAAGTAAACGATAGCACGCTGTAAAAGTACCGCCGCATGTTTCCAAAGTGTAGCAGAGCCACGGCAGAGAGGCTACGGGCTGAAACCCAAAGCTGAATTTAAACAGGACAGGACAGGACAACTTGAAATTCCCAACTCGAGAGCGGTGGAACGGGCTGGGCTTTAGAGAAACATACTAGTGCTCAATTGAAAGGCATAATAAACTTTGAGCTGAATTAAAGAAACCCTTTTTATAGGAGCATTTAATTGGCGTACGTTGTAATACATAGGTAGTCTATACACCAGGATTCCTTCAAAAAATCAAGATGTCCGAATGACCGTGGATCAAGAATCCAGAATCCTCCCGCCACCCATCCCATCGACGATGAACTCTTGCAGTACCCAGAAAAAAAAGCAAACTTGGAATGAACAAGGGAGAGCTGTGTTGTCATCTTACGCGGCGACAGACTCCAGGATACGAGTGAAAAAGCTGCGTGTGCCAACTTTTGACGTCTCTTCTCCACACCACAAGGATCAACACAGGGATTCTTTCCATCCTTGCAACGTGCGTCATACTTTGCATCCATAACAGATACCGGTATTTGCTTTCTAAATCTCGTCCATAAAGCATCCCAATAATCCAGATTTTTGTTTGTCTCAAGTCACTCATCCTCATCAATCCATCAAAATCTATATACAGTACTATTAAAACCAATCCCGCCTTTTTCTCCCCCAACAGACCAACCAGTCACTAATACATAACACATTATGTCTAAACCGTATGCTGCTCCTTCCCCTCTCCCACCTTACCCCTCCCTCCCTCTCTTAAAACCCCAATTTCAGGTCAAATACCAATACTAACACCACACCCACAGAACCAAACAAGCAGAGTCCGAAGAGGAAGAATACATGGACCAATCCGACAGCGAAGCAAACTCCAACACCGCGCTGCAACCCGCACAGCAACAAAACCAACAACTACAAGCCCAGCAACAACAACAGCAACAACAGCAACAGCAACAAGTGGGCCAGCGTGCCGAAGGTTACAGAACAGGCGCCATCAGAGAATCCCGCATCAAGAGCCGCCCGGAACCCAAATCTACGGCCTCGGATAGCGCGCTGAAGATCAAGATCGAGTTGGATTTGGAGGTCGAGGTGGATCTCTATGCGAGGGTTAAGGGTGATGTTACGATTGGGTTGATGTAGGGATGTTTTTCATGTGTTGTGTTTTGTTGGGTATCGGAGTTGGATGGGAAGGTGGATATTAAGAGGGTAGCTAGCTAGCTATACCTTAGGTTTCTAACATGTTGTAATTTACCAAATGTGAACTTTTACCAATCCTACCTAGGAATGTTGCCCATTGTCTCGGTTGCCACACTGCTTCGGTTCACTCTTGCGGTGCTTGCGCCTACCTTTACTGGTTGCACCATATGCGTTCCCATCTGTCACGGTGATCACTGTCTCTGACTCTGTGCAGCTGTGCTTGCCTCTTAAAGGCTTCTTCTAGAGCTGCCTTGACGAGCTTGAACATGGTAGGAATAACAAAACGAGAAAATATGCAACATGTCAGACCAGGACTCGGCTGTATATGGCCGCTGAATTTCCAAGAATCTCCATGGTATTATGGCTGATATATTACACGCCAAGTCATCAACAGACTCAGGTACAGAGATCATAGCAAGATATATACACCGCCTATCATCTCAGAGATGCTTACGAACCCCATTCACCTTGTTTGAATGTCGCTGAAACATCCAAGTGACAGGTGCCAGCATCAGAGCCCCCACAATACACAGAAACGTCGCGAGCATCTGCCAGACCCATATAACCGTCGCCCCTCCCGGCCAAAAGAACTTCACCACCTCATTCAACTGATACAAATCTTCCTGCGTCTTGATATAGTACTTGTGATTTTCCGCCGACTGCACGAGGCTGAGTTTCGTGGTAAGGCGCACATCGGATTTGTAGAACGGCACGAAGAAGAGGGAGAAGATCTGGCGGATTTCGATAAAGAGAATCTTGGATTTCTGGTTGAATTCTGTGTGCATCTTTATAATTAATTACCTGTGTCTTGAACCAGTGACACCCGAGGGGATCATACCATCACACTCGACATTGAGGATTATCCGCGGAGATAGGATCTTGTACCATCGATAAACCATCCAGATGACCCATCTCGAGTTTATCTCTCCCAGCACCGGCAGTGAGACATGCGAGAAGCTGGGGACGCGGCAGAGCGGGTGGATGAATGAAGCATCGGGCAGGAAGTAGGTGTCTAGGGCATCTTTTTGTTCGGCTGGTGATCCTTCTGTTAAGAGGTGAATGACGTTTGATACTTGTTTCTCTACAGATGCAGTCAATTAGCTATATATTCTCTGCTATACGACAACCAATTTCAACTTGTAGATGTAGAAAGCGTGGTGTTGGATCTGCTTTCTTGATGTTGCCGTTCAATCGGGCTAACTTGATGGATGCTACGACAAACACTTGCCCGCCAACGCAACAAATAAGAAAGAGTAGGAAACATACTTGGATGGTCCATTAAATCTGTAATGTGATTGAGGATATACTCGAGTGTTTTCTATGTTTGTTATAAAGATTGCGATGCAGATGTTGATGTATAATTAAAAGGAAGGCGGGGCGGGGCGGCATCGCATCTCGACAGCTAGAATTTAAGCATTCGGCATGATGTCACAGCAGAAGCGAGCCTGCATGTGAAATCAGAGTCACGTTCAGATTCAGGGGCTCAGGGGTAAGTAGCGAGGTGTAGGCTAGTGCAATGCATCCCACTGGTTAATCGAAGGGGCCTCACTATATCATTCAACAACTACCCAGTCAAATTCCTGATCAATCGTGATACATTATCGAACCATGACAACTATTGAAGCCCACCCCACCACAAGTCGTGGCTCGAAATTACTTATCAATTAATCCGTCACATCCTCATCTCACTGATCGCGTTCGTATTTGATGTCCATCTACTACTTTCTTAGAAGTGACCAAGCAATCTAGTTGAAATTGTATCCTATAGGATCAATAAACCTTCATTTGTTTGGTTGATAGACTCCCTTGTTATGGGTACTGTGAAGGGTATGCCGGTTTCCTGCAGGAGTGCAAAGTTAATGATAGCATTAAGAAATGAAATCCATTATAGACATAGAACAGCCCACAAAGATGCCAAAATGGTATTGAGATCAACGAATCAAAGTCGATAGTGGTAATTATCGCAAGATTAGTGCACAAATGAAATAATGGTTTTGAAACTTCCAGGAACATAAGCTATGGAATTAATACAGCAACTTGCAAAGCACTGTTATAGCCCCCAGTCAAATAAGCATATCATATAATGAGGATGCATCACAAATGAAAGAAAACCTCTTGAGACTTCGCATAGTGTACTTTCTCTGATACATTAAAAGTTAATGTAGACATCCAAATGTTCCTCCAACCCGGAACACACCTAGTCACTTATAATACATGCTTCTCTCGAATACTTCTCTTATTGGACGGGGCCACCTCTTTCTCCAGCGTCACCCTCAGCGCCCGAGGATCCACAGTCACCGTCCCGTTGCTGTGGAGAGTGAAGAAGAACTGGTCTAGCGCCAACGATCCATAAACATACGCGGTGGGACCAATCCACGTGGCACAAGCAGTCGAGTATGTCTTTTCCACCAGTGGAGAGGCGAGATCTTCGAACATGGCTTTGAAAGACTGCTGTCTTGTTCCATCGCTCGTGACTATGAGATCTGTCGGATACAGTCGGATGCTAAGATCGATCCAGTATGGGTCGGAGTAATTGGTCATAAGTTGTGCGACGGTGAGCCTCATGTCCGTTCCGTTGCTTATCCAACTCGTGACTGATAGACCAGGCTTTTCGTCTAGCGCAAGGGTCAAGGAAGAGTTGAGGTTCGCGGCATCGTGAGGTACAGCTAAACTTGTCGCATTGAGAACAGCCGTGGCATTGCCGAGAGTCTTGTTTGTCGGGTTCATGGTGTCTTCTGCCACGCTTACACCTAGTGGCGGTGCGGCTCTCTCTCTCAGCGTGGCAGCGCTGCTATTCCCACCGGGCGCTGCCACTGAGTAGGTTCCTGCAAAGTCATTCCCGGCTTGATCTCTTGCTGTTGCTTCCAGGGCGGGGATGATGATGGTTCCCCATGCATCCAAGAATTCCATCTCAAGATCATTGATGTTATTGCCTGCAATCAAAAGGATGAAGCCAACATCGTAATCAGGAATGAGGACCAGGAACGAGACCCACACGCTGATCGATCCGCCTTTGTCGTATGTGTCAACATAACGGTACGTCTGAGCGAAGCTGTCGTTCATGTGGATTCTTCGAATGCCCCACGGAGCTCCAATACCAGCTCTGGGGTCCGAATCGAAGGCGTCTGGCTTCATCCAACGCCGAGTTTGCGGTCCAGAAAGAATTTCATAGTTCAGGATAGACCGTCCAATTCTGGCGATATCAGACGAAGATGAATACATGTTTCCTGCGCTTGAAGATGTGAGTACAAGCCGACAAAATGGGAAATTTGCATGATGGTCACTTACGGATTCTCTTCCCCAAGACTATAATACCAATTAGTGCTCTTCACTGTTCCAGGAATAATTCCAATGGATTCGTAAGGGGCATTATAGAAAGTTCTTTGTAGGTCCAATTTAGTGGTTATTGATTCGTCAAACATTGCCTCGAATGTTTTGCCAGTGATGGCTTCCAAAGCATATGAAAGTATCTGGTAGGCAATATTTGAATATGCCGCGGTACCAAATGGTGCAAAAGCTGGGTCAAATCGTTGCAAGATATTGAAGAATTCTAAATTAAGATTAGAATGGCTTATTTCGATTTCAGGATCTCATATAGGCAGGCAAATATGCATTGTTCTTCAGAAGTTTAACTTACGTGCTCGATCGCACTCGGGCCAGGTACCGCATGTTGGAATATCCGCTTCGGGCAGAGGAGGAAAGCCCAGATATACCAGCTCAATATTATCGGGGACTGACTGCGTCAACTCTCCCATTACCGAAGCTATATATGAGTTAGAGTGTTTCATCTACTTAACAAGGACCACTCTGCTTACTGTCTGATGAAAGCCCTGCTAAGTGGGATGCCAAAGAACCAATTGTGATATCGGTCCACGAGACTCTCGTAAGTGCATTGCCGCTTTTGTTGGCTGCAATGGCTTGCAACTCTGATACAAAGTCGGTAATCGGTGCATTCCAGTAAAAGTCCCCAGCTTCAATGAGGAATGTATACATAGTAAACAGCTTGGTAAGACTCCCTATCCTATACACAGAGTCTCCATCAACTTCCGTCACGCCCGTAGAGTTGAAAGACGGAAGGTTCGCAGCCGTGTGATACCAAGTGAAGGCTGATGTATCCTGATCGTCGGCGGAGAAGACTTCGAGAGAGTATGAATTCTCTTGTCCTTCGATAGCTGCATCTACACCCGTAAGAAAGGAGGTAAAATTTGCAAAAGCAGCCTGCATTATAGAATTGGTTGTAATGTTTCTAGGCTTAGGATAAACAGGTCCCAATAAGGGACAATTCGGTGTTGCGGCATCAGAGAGGGGGTATAGCACAACAGTAACCATAAGACTGTATAAAGGCAAAAGGAAATGCATCTTGAATTAAGAGGCCCCAGAAAACCCACCACAAGAAGTGAGTGAAGGTGGTGGAATGAGTGAGAGTTGGACAGCACCGGATCGGACAAAGGTCTACCAGTTATATATAATATAAATGTGCGTCACTTCTAGGATGAGATGAACAATGTAGAGATGTATTCGTCATCGCCTCAATAATATCTGTACGCTGTTCGCAATAGGCAGTTCTGAGAAGCAGGCAGTACAAGGGTCCACTGGCTCTCTCGCACACTTTTTGCATTCCTCATGCTGCAAAGAATTCAGCTTGCAACCCATTTGAGCTATATTGGCATATCTGGAAAGCTCTAGATTGGCCCACGCCTTCACTGATTCTGAGTTGAGTGCGATCTCTTTTGCTTTACCCAAGAGTGATCTGCAGGCCAGTTTATCCTATCTCCCGGCCGCTTCTTGTTCCGGGAGGAGCAAATGATGGAATGCCACGCGTGGCCGATGCACAGCTGGCAGACCTTGTCTCAAACTGTTTATATACTCGTGTTCACGGGCATTTAATATATAATAACAATAGTTGCAATCAAAAAAGGGGGGCGTGCGCGACACATATTCAGGGGCGAGAAGGTGAAGATTACCGAGGCGCCGAGAGACATCTCCAATTTCTCAGCGTTCCATCTGATAGATTCTTAATCGAATATACCTTCCCCCTTTGGATGAATATATATCAACACGATCTTTATGGCAGCTCGGGCCGGAATTGTCCGTTATTCAGGGGTCTTGTCAGGGTTAAGTGACTAGGATTTTATATTAAGCGGGGGCTCGGCACTTGATCCCATTCCTGCAGCCACGGAAATCCTGAATGCTTAACTCCTCGACTGCAAATCACATTTGGAGTGATTTCGGAAGTCTTTCGACGGCGTCAATTTTGGCCATGCACAAATCAGGCTGAAAATGTCGATTTTAAAAAGTAAATCGGGTCACTCTAATAAGTCTAAGAATAACTCCATGTGGGGGTGAACTTGTAGTTTCTCCCTTCTTACCATACCGCCTCGTTTTCTTCCATCTCTTCGGTTCCTCCTACAGCTTCTACGACGGGTAACACCTCCTCCCTTACCATATCTGTATCCGCAGCTTGGGGAACCTCATTGCTGCGAGTCAAAGCTCGATAGTTGCTCTCGTCAATCCTAGCCAGGTGAGATTCCTCCAACCGCTTTGAGCCCATGCCGTAGTACTCCTGAAAGACCATGAATAACGGATGCAATTTATCTACATCAATCCGATTCTCATGTCCTTGCAGCCGGAGTTCATCTTGCACATGGATCCTCAGAATCTTCACCTCAATCGCCAGCGTCATCCCCTTCCGATCCGACAAGTCCTTCATCATCTCATGATGATCCATCACTTCAGCCTCCATCTGCACAGGGCATTCGAGGATTCGAGGAGGTCCGACAAGATCTGACTTTTGAGGTGTGAGCTTGGCGTGTTGGAATTTATCTTTGACGTATGAGTATCCCGTGCGGACTTTAAATTCTGACATTGGGTTCGCTCCAGTGGTGCGTGCGAGAAGGTTGATGTGGGATGTCATGTCCTGGGAGGGGAGATTCAGAACGCATTTCTTGGTGCGGAGCATGTTTTGCGTGGTCTGGCTCATTGCCGATAGACCCAGCATACAGTGGTGGCCGAGCCACCAGGCAGATGACATTGGAGCGATGTTGTATGTGCCGTCTTCGTTTTCTGTCGTGATGAGGACTACTGGTGTGCCCCAGTACAAGATGGCGGGTGAAATGATGTTATGCATTTTGACCGAATGGTACAAATTGGCCTCCTGGAAGTCTATACTCGGGATTGCTTTCAAGCTACTTGCAACGATTCTGCTTGCTTTCATAGAATATGTGTCGGGTGCGGATAAGAGAACCTTTGGGGTATTTGCCACCCATATATATACCTTAAGCAGGAGTCACTTCGTCACTTAGTCATATCAATTGAGTACGGACAATTTCTATGTTGCTCTCAAAACCAGTTAGAAGCTCTGCTAGACCGGAGATGTTTAATTCTTCAAGCTGCAGGAAGTTTTGACTGTTACCAGAAGTACAGTCACTGCCTGGTTACGACTGTGGTGAAACTAGCCAATGAAATGCACCACCACCGTGTCTTACGTTTGAAATGACGGCCACTAACAACTTGTAACATGCAGCGCATGCGAAATCAATGTCTTGGCTTCGAAATTGAGCAGTGTGCCTTTTGCTATTTACTGAAAGTAGCCAATCAAGACCGGCAGAACACTTTATCACAGCAGAAGCTAGGCAGCTTGCAACTAACAATCCATAGTCAAGTACGTTGTGCTTTTCTCGATCCCTGTTGTTTCTCCATTATCTGCATACATGGTATTCAGCTTGTGATCGTAGAGGGACGCTACGCAAGGGATGCGACGTGAAAGATTGGCCACTTTAACAGCAACGAAGATGGTATTTACATAGGTGACTTCGAATTGACCAATAATAGCATTGTAATTTATACCTCCGCAAGAGTCATTAGAAAGTATGGATAAGGCTGCTCAGTATCCACATACTATAGCGTCAAGGCCTCACTAGGTGGCTAAATTCACGCAGCCACATGGGAGTAAACAGAAGGAGAAGTCAAGTCTTTGCCAAGAAACCGCTGATCCTTCCATTCTGGGAGCATGGCACTGCTTACCTAATACTTACATAAATATTAGTCCCTCTCCCTCCTTATATTGCATCTTTACTGCACTCTTTTCAATCTTCTAAACTACACAACTCACATATTATCTATCACCTGACCTAGATATCCCAAGAATCGAGGTTGCCCTCTCCGTTACCATCAATGGCTTCTTAACAAAACATGCTTGATTTTAGGAAAAGAACATTCGCAGCGGATTTGTTTCTCGAATACATCAATGCCTCGAGCACTATTATCAGACGATATATAAGATAAGCATCATGGAAAATACTCGCGACGCAATCATAACATGCTTGAGAAATATCTAGTCGCCGCCAGGAAAGAGTAGTCATACCAGGAGCAGCAATAACGTGATTTGGTCACTCGACACATGTGTTGGAAGCAAAGGCGATATAATCTGTTTCTCGCGCGAACGAAGGATTTGCAGGATTGAGAAAAATGAACGTCCACTTGGCTAAAATGACCAGAAATAGCTGGTCTGGTTCTAAACTCCGTAAAAGAAAACACCCGACAAGCTAGAAGCAATTTTCACTCGCAATCAGATTTCGGGGTACCGTTGTATGAAATGCATTGTATTGTTTAAGACCTTATAATCACATTGTATCAGATCGCCTAGAATCCAGTATTAAACGCCTTGATCCATCCAAGACGATCTTCATCCCACGACAAAAAAAAAGAAGATTCATCATAACTATCCGTTTCCACTTTCATTTTTACAATCTAGTAGCGTGACCAGTCTAGCTTGTTGAGAACGTATAAACGTTCGTAGGAACCGTCACGCACTGTGTCTTGATGAGCACTTACATCAGATCAAGCCCCATAGAATCAAGCTCGCCGTCAGCCACCTTCTTGCTCTTGCTAAAGACAAGGGCGACCTCAAGGACGGCAATAACGACGAACACAGAAGCAATAGCCAACTGCATCAAGAAGACCTTCAAGTATGCCTTCACAAGTCTGACACGGGCAGCCCAGTCAAAGCTCTTCCACGCATCTAGCATACCAATAGCACCGGTTCCGCCTACTATTTCGGGGATGACCTTGCCGTTAAAGCTACGGTCAAAGGGGACGATGGTCTCTTCGGAATCGGCGAGGAGGGATGCTTGGACACGGGTTAACGAAACGTCTGCGGGCACGACCAAGAGGAATCCGAGAACCAGAGCGAGAGCGCCAATACTGACACCCTTGAGAGTGATGATCCACGCTTGGCGGCTGTCGATGTTGGCCATCTGGTCAGGAGTCTGCAACTTGTCTCCAATGCCGCTCATCATTCCAAGGTACACTGGGATGAGAACTGTGACCTGCTCTGCGATGGCGAGAACTGCAGTAGGCGCTGCAACCTTGCTCCATGTCTTGGTGCTCGGGAGACGGCGGAACCACATCTTAGGGCTGGGTTCGGAGATGACAATGTGTGTCCATGCGACCGAGAGCTGAGCGCACAAGACAGCCGCAACAACGGCTCCAGCACTGCGAGGAAGGAAAGGAAGGAAAGAAACGAATTGTGCGACCCATGAGATAGCAATCTGGTTGACGAGGAAGACCGAGAGACCGCGGAAACGAGCACGGAAACCGCCCTTCTGTGATAGGAGTCTGAGGGTGGCCCGGAAGCTGGCGGTGGTGGGTTTGGGCTTGACAGCCTGGGCCTCAGTGTTGGTTTCGGGGTTCTTGTTAAGGGTGTCATCGGTATCGTCGGTCGCGAGGGGCTCGAAGACGATGGACTCGGGGGGAGATTCGATCATGAGGAGGGTTGGGACGACTCGACCAAAGGTATATTCGATCTGTAGATGGTGGTGGTTAGCAGAGCGAATACACACGGACTTTTGCAGGACAACTTACGACGCCCGACACAATCAAGTAGACGACGGCAGTGAAGCTAAAGAGCACGATACCCCAGGTTGGTAATTGGAGCTTCTCGTTGTAAATGGTAGCCTCAGCGCCTCGGCGCATGAGGTTGTGAGCCATGGCAGACGACATGGTGGTAGAAGGGAAGGAACAACAGGAAAGGAGATGATCGTTGAAGAACAGTAACAGTAAGTGATGGATTTGATGATTAAATAGTCGAGATACTTCAAGAATAGAGTAGGTGGTATACGAAGTATATGGAGGAGAAAGAAGAAAGAAGCTGGGATAAAGGCGGGCAGGCAACAGAGGTCGTTAATCAGGCGTTTGAGGCGCAGTTGCGGCGTATGTTAGGTTGGTTGGCTTAAGAATCGCCCCTGGGCCCGCTGTAACACTCCACCAATGCTCCACGCCGTAATAGTACGTACGTACTATATGTCCGGTGCTCCAACATCCATCATCTAACCAGAAATCCAACTCTACCATGTTTTGAAGCCAAAACTGTCATTATCACGATAATTGCGTGCATAATCAAATACCAAGTACGAAGTGTCTAAACAATAACGATATGACTGAGCCTGTGTAGTCATGTGACTTAGCGCTATCTGACTAAGCAAAGAGGCATAACCTCTCCTCTTCGCAGCAGATCCACGATGGTGATCTGCATCACATACAATACCGAATACAACCACAATGCCGTACAAGTGATCACTCCTGTGTTGCCAACACGAAGTATCCAATCGAAATTCTAAGTCCGTGTTGTGGCCCTTTAAAGACAACCAGCTGAACAGTAAAACGATGGCCATTAAAAAAAGGGTTGATCTATTTTCACGTGTCTGCATCTGTCTTACTTGTCCAAGGAGGAACATTGCCCCGCGATGATGCCCCTTTTCACGTCAAACAAAGTCAAGCCGCTACTCGTACAGCCTCTTCAGCTAAAGTCAGACTCATTCGTAAAATGTAGTTTTCGCTATCTAGGGCTGAGAAGTATTCTCGATAATCAAGTACCTCAATGATTGCATAATATCATCCATTTCTCTCCTTCATAATTGCAACTGAGCCGACTGATCCCGCTTTCTACGCGCCTCCCAAGTATGATTACCATAGGCTGGGATGCAAACAGAATGATGAGGATGCCATTCTTTCCCTTTGCCCAGCGGCGTTTCATGCTTGTCTGCACATCCACCAGCTGTCACCTCTTTGCTGGAACAAGCACCATTCCGAACCCCCTTTGCTTTTCCCTTGCCGGTCTTGTCTTCGCACGCTTCTGCGCCCTTTTCTCCTAACCCCACTTGCATCAGCCCTTTGGCGGCAGAGACGAAGCTACCCCGAGTTATCTTCCCCTTCTCTTTGCTGCTTCCAGTCTGAATTTGATCCATTTCTGTCTCGTTAACTTCTTCCGTTTCATCCCGAATGCTAATTTCCTGTTCTCCCTCTTCTGACCCCTCGAACTCTTCATTTTCGCTCTACAAGTCGCGTACGTCAGTCTCGTAGTCCTTGGAACTTGAACCAGCAGCCAATGATGGGTAGCAGTTTTTCTCCACCAAGAAAGGGAAATTTATGTTAACATTCATACCTCTTGCTCGTATTCATACTCGTCCTCGATGCCTTCCTCATCAGAGCCGGATTCCATTCCAGACTCGTGCTCTTCATCCACCATTTCGATCGAGTCCTCAACCTCGTAAGCTTCTTCCTAGAAATGACCAGTGGCTATTAGTACATGCCGTTCAAAATAGAAGTCATATGAGATGGTTGAAATATACCTTCTCCGGGCAATCTTCTTCAGTCTCCACATCCTCTCTGGGAAAATAGCTCTCGACGTCAATCTCTTCTTTGTAACCTGACTCAGCCTCGTTACTCTTCTTGCCAGACTTGCTCTTGCCGTAATACTCATTCGCAGCCCCCTTCTTGTTCTTGTAATCACTCTTGGGTTTATTGCTCTTGATGGATGACTTAGCTTTGACTGTAGTCTCTTCTTCTTCTGAAAAATCTTCCTCGGCCTCTGTTTCGTCTTCTAAGTGATGACTCTCCTCGTCCACCTCTTCTTCTGAATCCTCCTCATCTTCTACTTCAGCCTCCGAAACGTTCTCCGTGTGTATTTCTTCCTCTTCGTCTAGCTCTTCTTCTTCATCTTTGTCTGAATAAGCTTTCACTTCATCGTCGACCTTCGTTTTTTGCTGGTCCTCGCGGAATTTGGTGGACTTTTGGGTTTTCGTGGCTTTAGCAGCTTTGGTGGTCTTGGACAATTTGGACGTTTTAGTGTCGATTTCCTCGGCAGAGTAATCATCCTCTTCATAGTCGACCTCGGATTCTTCATCGGTTTCAATGGTCTTGGTCTCGAATTCCCCATCACTCTCAATTTCGACATCAACCTCCTTCGACCCACAAGTCTTTTCGTTATGCCCACAGTGTTTACATGTAGCCCCTACTCAGGTTAGCAAATTGCGAATTATCCAAGATGGACGACGTTTACCCATAATCGCTGTTGTTTGGTGTTACTAAACTTAGACGGTGTGGATATTTGTGGAAGTCGAAGACAAAGCCTAACAATAATCTTTAAAACACGAAATGCTGATTCTTGTCGCCATGTTCAGTTTCAGGAAAAGGTTCTCTTATCTCAAAACTTTGCAAATCGACGCTACTCAATCACAGCTGAGGCTGAGAACAACAATCAAGCTCGGATTAGAAGCTGACATAAGACCGGGCGGGATGTCGGCCGCTCGACTGACATGTAAGCCAAAAGTTTTACACTTCGTTGGAAATCTTGCATTAGCTTTTACAGCCTAGGAGCTTATCGTTGCTTCCTGGCAGTCCTTTGGTAATCCGTAAGCAATGCCAAGAGCAAGCTCAAGTAAGATCTCTTACACTATGGGTTATTCATTATATAGCCTTTCTGGATCACCTAATCTTTATGGTAAGCCAGTAGAACATATCCATGACATCTGTTAACAACTTCCAGTGGATCTCTAGTCTTGACTCGACCTTGTTGTAGGCTTTCTGCCTTTATGATATATTTCTCACCCGTCTTACTTTCTCAGCCCTCGGACGTCTGTTTAAGCTGGGGTGAAATATATAGGCTAGACACTCCGTATAGTCGAAATAGACCTTTGACAGTTTCGCAGTAACTCGGTGATCTTCTGTCTCTTGTTCATTTTCAAACCAGTGAAGCCCTCTCACTACTTAGTATCGCAGCAAATTTCGTAAGTAGTCAAACCCTTGAAAAGCGCACCCCCCTTCTTTTCGTATAAAACTAACTTAAAAAGCATAATCTAGACATGCCTACACCAGCGGCAAACCCAGCTCCAAAGAAAGCTGCCTCAAAGCTAGGCACAGGAGGAAAACTCCCGACGGGCAATGACCGCACCATCAAGACCGACGCTGCCGTCGCTCTCCTCGCTTTCGAATTCGACACGGTCCCTGGGCCTGCCAACCGCCTCCACGATTACCGCGAAGCAAGCCGTATACTGGACGGCATGTTTGAAAACGTCAAGAAGATGAGCGCCAGCGTCACCTCCGAGACGGACTCTTTCAACGCGTTCAAGTCTATTGTGGACGACTCGAAGATTTTCACCAAGAAGATGGACGCGTTGAAGGCCACTTTGACTGCGGTGCAAGCTGGGAAGTTCTGGGTGAATTCGAATCCGAAAATCAGGGATATCAAGGAGGTGTTGCTGCTGATTGATTCGTTGAGAAGTACTGCGGGTGGACTTATCTCGCTGGCTTCTCTGTGAGATTTGCACAAATACCTTTCTGTACATATTTCATTGTCAATCCAGCCATGTTTCTTCCGCCTCGTTTTGATTTTCTTGTGCAAGGTTATGCGACACTTATAGAGCTATAGAATACCGCTTTCTAAATCCCATCTAACCTCCATTTCTCTTCCCCACAAGTAAATTGGGAACACTACTTTCGACAGCACTTGCTTCTTTTGCTCTCGCTTTCTCTTTCGCATTCTCTTCAATTTATGGCACCGATATTCATTTCAGCACACGCACTCAACACCAGCTTCTCAAATGATCATGGAGTGCTCAAATTGCAACGACCCTGCCACGATGGCATGCAGTCGGTGCAAGCAACCTCCAATTCTCGAAGTAGATGTGCCAGTTATCCATTATTGCAACAGAGATTGCCAAAGAGCTGACTGGTCTCAACACATGACCCTCTGCCGGCCTCCAGGACCACACCACTCTATATCGAGTCGCAACAGTAGCGCAGAAGCTGTTCTACATCTATCGAAAACTGACATGGGCTTAACTTGATATCCAATCCGTCGAAAGAGCCGGGAATGAGATCATCCTTCGTGGACGGGTACGTTTTTATCTTCCAATTTGCCGCGGAGATATGGCTGTCCTGCCCTATGTAAAGTAAGATTTGTATTAAGAACCACGCCCTAGTATTTAATCGAGGATGCAAGATGCCACGGGACTACAAAGTCTTTCCTTCTCACTTCTTTCCAGCAGAAGACGATCGCCAAGCCAGATAAGCTACCTTGAGCCACCACACATGTCGTGATGCTGTGTTGTGGATGGTTGAGTTCGTGGAAGGGATGTTGAAAGGTACCTACGTACGATAGAATTTGCATATAACAGCTTATTAACGGCAGCTAGGAATTGTTGTGCAAGTATCACAGGTAGTAGTTCGCATCAAGAACGACAAGCTATTGTCAAGGATGACTTTGCCTGGAGTCTGGTACATGCATATGGGAAGTGACGTTGCTCACGTTCGTCACCATGTCTTGAAGCTCCAGGTACGGTCCGGGGCGCTTTTCACCGTGGATCTCTCGGGTGCACAATTTGGATATCATGACCCAGTCACCTCATGGAGCGCGTACAAGAAAACCCGAGACTGCGAGGTACTGAGTGTGGATCCGGCCCCCAGCCCAGAGAAAACACTAGAAGTCGACGATTATAGTATCCAGAAGATGTGTTTCTTCGCCCAAAAGGCCACCCGAACACTGGAGCCGTACCCTAATGGTCGTCTGGTCACTCTTGAAATAACGAATAGTCACTTTCTGGTGTTGCAATCAGATGGACACCTTAGCCTTAAATCCTTGTGGACTTTAGGGGAGAAGGACTTCCAAATGAAACATCTTGATTTCGTTGACTATATCGAGTGGAAGCTCCATAACGTGGGAACGTACCCCTGGTACACAGAGCATGGCAGACAGCTGGAACAGGAGATCAAGGGCGACTGGGTGTTTGGAAAATAGAAGGCAGACTTCAGACTGTCTAGAACCAATGCTAGAAACTATTTTTCGCTGCGTATTCATTTGGTTTTCGCTCAAGCTTGGCGAATTTCAATCCACTTGAGAGTCTCTCAAATTAAAGACCTCTTCTTGTGGTGTATTGGCATTTGAGGTCTGGACTCGAGAGCTGTAGAATTCAGTGTGAATGGGAGGAGACTTCAAACGTTTGAGTACGGCCGAGATAAGCTCTGGTGTTCTCCACTCACTCACACACTTTTAACCTTTTGAGGCTCATGCGGTAGGGTGATCATCCATGCACCGTCAACCCCGCCATACAGTACACTACTCCGCAAAGTCCCACCTTTCTCCGCACGGGCCCCCTTAGCCTCACGTTGGATGTTGGGTTGGCTTCGAATCAAGTCCTCCTCTACAACTTGTCCAGACAAGCTTCAACTTAGCAGAAGTTGCTCAAGTCCAGAGCTATGGTGGGAACCATCATACTCACCGGAGCAAACAGCTCCCTCGGCATCCCAGCGGCGGAGCATCTTCTCTCATCCTACCCCGACTATACCGCCATTTTCACCGTGAGGAATGCTTCCGAGTCCGACACAAACACAACCCAGTTGCGCAGCACTATTGCTCGTTTCCCCAACGCAAAGGCTACGGTGCATGCCCTCCATCTCTCCAGTCAGCCTACACATGATGCAACGATTCCTCCTCAAGCCTCTCCTACCCCTCCTCAAGATTCCCATGGGGCCGACTTTGCGTACTGCTCGCGCCGCTGGTATCGATGTCATCGAGCTTTCCGTCAACCCCAAGTATGCAGGCAAGAGAGGCTTCTACACACTGTTGAAAGAGGACCAGAGCTCCCCAGACAGTCAAGTTGAGAGCAATCAGGAGAGTCTCTGGAAGAAAACTTTGGAATGGGCCAGGATCACACCAGAGAACACTGCTCTGAAAGCTGGATTATGAGTCGTAGGTCACGGGTGCCTTTTTTAATTTGCTGGGTAGGCCTTTGAAGAAGTCAATTGCAACTATCACCATGCCGCTAAGTATCTGTGTCCTATCTTACCCTCGTCTTCTTTCTACCCTTTCTATTTGCAAATCTATAGATGCAGGAAAGCAAGGGCCACCCGCGTAGTAGTGGGCCTTGACAGTACGGACGGATGGGTACGATCAACGGGAGACTGTGGCGTTAACTCTTCCATCGCCCCAATTAGCCGAAGAGACTGCTCTAAGGAAATAGTCTCTACGCGTTGGAATTTTTAAGTGTAGCTTAATGCCTTTTTAAAGAGAAACATATTTTCGACTTATTAATCTACTGGACAATCCTATTTATTCAACCATCCCCTTCACAATTTCAAAGACGAAACTTCAGTATCCCCATAGACCAGCAGCGTAAGGCAAAAAGTACAAAACCCACCCAATCCTTATTATAAGAATAACCACCAATCAAAAGATGTCGTCTCAGCAAATTCAACGCAGAGCTCAGGGAAAGCTTGCCCAGGTAAGGACCGGCATGCATAGCTCTCAAAAAGCGCTCTTACTAACACTCCTAGGCCAATCGCCCCGAATCAATTGATACCAGCGGTCAAATGCTACCTCTAGATTCTCGAGAGGGTGTTAGGGCCCAATCTCAGCTGCTTTCTAACCTTGAGTTTAAGGCTATAAATAACCAACTCCTGACAGCAGGCGAGGCCATCGAGGTGTCTCGTTATAAATTGTTTGAGACACGGTTTGTTGCCTCTTCTGCTATGCAAGAGCTTGAACAGGAACGGCAAGTTTGATAGAGGTGCTTTGACGCTTATAAAGAGCTACACGTCTAGTATAAAAGGAAAGTTGCAGGGGTGCACGATATGACGAATGAATGCCTCTCGCTACATCAGAGCTTGGAGAATCTTAGAAAGCAATTTCCGATTACGATTCGACCTTTAAAGAATCCTAGCGCCGCGTCGCCGCCGAGAAGTCCCCGCTTGAAGATAGGATCAGAGACCTTGAGAAGAGAAGAGCGGAGACGGCACAACAGATACAGTTTGTGCTCGAGGATGAGAAGTTCGCTATGCACAGAATGGATGAGCTGGAACAGGAAAGAGAGGATATGATACGGGAACATAAGAAAGCAATCAGCATGATCGTGGCTCGTGAGAGTCTTGCTGTGCAAAGGATCGCCGAGCTCCAGAAGGGGGTGGAAGAATTGAAACAGGAACATCAGGCAGCAATGAAAATTACGGTCGATCGTATGAATTCTGCCGAAGAGATGGCCGACGAATTTCGGAAGAAATATGATGCATCTGAGAGTCGGGAGGTGGCTCCAACCTGGCCTCCTCCTTCTCCCGAACAATCTCCAGGAGCGAAACGACAGAAGTTGGAGCCCAAACAGCAGCGTGGACGCCCTCCCAAGTATAGAAAGTGCAAGGCCGCAACAAAGGCGGAGGAGGAAGACACGATAGTAGTACGAAATTGAATGCGCGGACTGATATTTTATGATAGCGATAGGGTTAATGCATTTGGTTTGGTTATTATGTTCTAGCTAGTTGGAAATTCATTCGCATTTTGCACTACAACTATTCTACATATGCAATGTCAACCACTTAAGTGATGGAATATTTCGGAACAGTAGACTGGCTATCGAAGTCTCTAAAGCGAACTCCCTATAATTAGACAATGTCGCCTCTGCGCTCCCTGTTATAGTAAGCCTTTCACTTCTACTACATAAGTATATCCCGGAGATGGAAGGTACAGGAATCACAACTGACAAATACGCATACAGTTCCATCTTATTCGCAAATGTCCTATTGCCGGAAATAGAAATTTTCGATCCATAGCATATTAAACCCGGACGTATGCCGGGTCTTCGCTCTCTTTCAATTCGACTTTCTTTTCCCACAGAGTCATGTTTACCAAACCCCGGTCGTTACATGATTACATATGATGCGACCACAGAAGCTAGACCCAACTAGAAGATGACTATTCCAGCCCGTGTACAGTAAGCCGTACGGAGGTATGTACTAAAAGAACATCAGTCAGATCAGGATAGGGCACGATAGGGTACCACCCTGCCAAGCCAGCCCGGCCCAGCCAGCCAGCGGCAAAACTGAGTAAGCTTATACCCAGGTATTTAAGGTAATTCACGATAGCCCTATAGCCCAGTGAAGTGATTCATGCAGTCAGAAATGGCCAGAAATACCTACAGGCAGCATGTTAACCGCTTTCGGTCGTTGGGCCGCTGTGGATGGTAATCTTAACTTTGTGGTGGGAGGAAAGGGATCTACTACTTATGCATGGATGTGGCTTGGTTGGTGCGCTTCGGATGTTGGGGCTATCGAGCTATTTGGGCATTAACTCGAATGGTTAATGGCGGACAGTGGACGATGAGATATCTTTATGCCTTTGGTTTCAAGGCATGAATAAAGGTGGCCGTGTTTAGCAACTGCTCTGAAACCGTTGAAGATAGACGTTAATGTTATTCTCTCGTCGACTAAGCACGAGGAATTGATGAAATGTTAGCCTACTGGGTTTTATTATCTCATTGCAACGATCGGTACTTTGCGGTGTATAATAAATGGATTCTCTTCAATATAGACTGTAGATGTTATTTGTGATTCATATTAATTTTCAAAGCTGCAACCTTTCAACGCCTAGATTCCCCATCCCACTCCGTCTGTTTTCGAAGCCTGTAGTGAACCTCTGTCCCATTTCTTGTCCAAGTCAGGGATTTATCAACTTTTCGGATAGCCTTGAAGGACTTTATCTCAAGAGTCGGCTTGCGCCAGATGACGGTAAATATGGTATTATTACAGAATCCGCTCTCCGGGAGGACTTCTTTGCTCCACAAAGCTTTGGGCCTGAACGCTAGGTCAAGAACACATGTATCCATCGACATGTACTGTCATACGGAGTGCCTATTTATAGTAATGCAGCTCAGTATTCCATCGCCATCTGCACTGTTTTGTCCAAGACGTGAAGCTCGTGCCCTATTACTTGTTAGTTGCCAAGATCCGAAGAAATTATCGGATAAACATTACCTGCAAGGGTCCACCGCGTATTGAAAGATTTAAGAATTTGTCTAAGCTCCTCTAGGTCCTGCTGCCATTGTGTGTCTTGGAAGTTATCGCAGGCCAGAATATGCTCCTGTGCACATCGTGCAATGTGTTGAACTGCTGGTGCTAAAGCCTCGACGGGGTATGTATGAGTGGCTTTGTTGAAACTATACACTATATCGATTGTCATTCTGGTAATAGTGTTCAGGGTAACCCTCATTGTCTCTGTCCATTCTGGTTGATTTTCAATACCCAGAGCCTCAACAGCGTAACGATGGAGAATGTATAATCCACTAATAAAATTCAGTGATGACCTGGTAAGGAATAAGTATATCCTACACAAGTAAAGTTTGTGTTGCACCGCAGTAGCTAGTCCGTTGCTCCGCTACCTGCCTTGTGATTTTCCCCAACAGTGTTTGAAGTTCATAGCCAAGAGTAACGAATGTCTGCCCATTTGTTTCCATGAAGTCCACGGCTCTCTTAACTTTATCTACTAGGTGCGTAGCCTGGGCTTCACGGCCAAACATGCCTAAAGTCGGTAGAGAAACAGCAGAGACGAAATAGCGAAATTCTGGGCTCATCGAATAGTCAATATCACCTGCTAGGTCCGCAGGTTCTAGTGGCAGATAGTCTTCACTGCGAATAGGCCGTACAGCCATGGGCCGGCCGCTCATTCGATTGTCGCATGCAATGTTCCTGCAAGGTTTTAGTAAGGTACGATCTACACGCATTGAAGTTTTAGAGTAGCATACCTATCACAGATCGTAAGTCCCCACCAAGTAGCCAGCGCCTCTTCTTCATCAAACCATCTATCGCTTCCCTGGAGCTCCTGAGAACACTGTGCAGTGTCAATTCCAATTGCGCAAGCGAGTCTTGCAGTTGTACCGATTGAGATGTATGCAGCTTCAATTCTTTCATGTCCGCGTTCGTAGCTGGCCAGGATGACTCCGGCCTGAACTAAGCCTATTGATGGTGGAATGAATGTTTGGACTTGTGTAAACAGTGTTTTTGTTGCAAGGTAGAGTATTTCGCGATCTTGATCTACATCAAAATCTGAGGAAGGTTGTTGTGCCATTAGATGCATGGTTAGAAGCAGCATCGAGAAGTCTGCAGTGGGGTATGATTGGAAGTATTGCAGGCGGTCGTAAAAACGCTTCTTCGAGATGATTGGAAGCCACTTGTGCACGCCTTGGAAGTGCTTAGAAGCCACGCTCTCAATGTAGTTTCCATCTGTTTTGATCAAATGGCAAACCTGCGAATGAATAACGTTATCTATGGAGGTAGCCGACTGTGTAACATTTGGGCCGAGGGTGTCAGAATTTAGGACGTCGGACATCGAATTCATCAGCAAAATTGACAGCCTGATACCAGGATGTAATTTCCCTAGTATCGACCGAGGGATCGATGTCCAGGTAGAAGTTGTACCATTGACACCAATGTTTTGGCAAGCATTAATAATGTCGTTCCCATAGCGTTGTGGCTCTAAATGTTCTCCATATCGGCATACTGCGCGTCGTCTACAGTTGGTTAGAGTATGCCTTGAAACTAAAACTAGAGAGAAACACGTTGAATCTGCGCACTTGCGGATGAATAGAATCTTGGCGCAATCGTATTGTAAAACTTACTTGATACATTGACTGCAGCTTGGCAGTTTCTTGTCACAACCTTTCTTGATACTCTTACAGTGGGAGCATACTTGCGGCGCTCGCGAGGGTGAGTCCTGGCTTTGGACAGGCGCCATAGTTCGTGTTTGGAATAAGGTTGTCTGAAATGGAGCCTTTTGTGGAACGTGGAGTGCGGAGCTTGAGTTGCATTGGTGTTCTTGGATGTCGGCCGCGGTATCGATGATGAGAAATCGAAGCGATGCGCGGAGGAGGTATATATTTCAAAGGCCTACTAGCCATTGGCAGAAGGCGATAGTTTAAATCAGTCATCTTCGAGTTCAAGCAAGCAATTTTGTCAGCGAGATGGCCCATGCTGATTCCCCGTGTTCTCGCCCGGGATTGGTCGAGAAGAGAAGCTTATCATTCCCAGGGCTGAAAGCTGCTACTCCGTACCGTGCGGCGTGCATACGGTGGAGATTTGTGAATCCACAGGGACCCGAGCCACAGCGACGGACCACATGCGGCAATGACCTTTGGAGACTAGGGCTTAGCAATATTGAGGGCTATTGGGGCTATTGATCATGAGACCTTCAGGTAAAGCAGCTGGCTGAGGTACGGAGTAAAGCAACCAGGAAGAAAAGAAGGTTACGTGAAATTACAGAGCGCATCAAGGAGGGGAGGAGAAGGAGGGGAAGAAGAGGAGAGGCGAGGGGAGGATACAGCATGAATGATTATATAGAGATGGAACAGCTGAAGCTGCTTGCTATTAGATGAGGGCCATAACAAGAGAGCTACTGTACTTTACAGTACAGACGGTACCCATACTATACTTGTCATGCTCATCCGGACCGGACCAAGGACCAGTGAGAAGCTCAGCCCCCCCCCCCCCCCCCCCTAGGGCTATAGGATAGGATAATGGGGAAGGTACCACCCTACCTTACCTCTTAATATCCCTGTAGGCAAAGTACCTAGGTAGGTAACGGCCACTAGTAATGCCTCGTTCGTTCGGTCGGTGCGATGGACGATGGGGACGATAGCATCGCACCGCATCTGGGGCTGACATGGTGGGACGATGGGATGGGATGGGGGGTCGGCAGGACAAGGGGAGCGCGGCAGTTTAAGGTTCCGAGAGGCTATTGGGGTATCAGCCCCAGCGTCAACTCAGCCCCTCACAGGCACTATTATCGAAATCTTACGACCTTCAAGCGCAACAAGCGCTGATTTTGACGCCTCCTCGAGCAAGATCACTAAGTCAAGGCTTATGCAAAACAGCTGACTCCATCTCGCCCGCCGAATCGGGTTCTGATTTCCGCCCGAGTTTGGAACGATCTGTTCTGAATAGTGGCAATAATCGTACTTAGATTTAGCAGATTACTATTTATTACTGCAAACCCTTAAATAGTGGTACAGCAAACTCGCATGCTGCACTTCCTAAGCGAGGCCCTGTAAAAGAATTCCCCTGTGGTGAAATACATATGGTATGTATGACGTTTTTGAAGTTGGAAAGCATCAGAGTAAGAATTCAGAGCGAGATATAGCCGCTGGCTGAGCAACTTGCAGCTATGCTTAGTCTCTGCATCGAATCTAGAGCAGAGATGTACCTACGGTAGATACTGATGTTGGTAACTGCCAAGCGTTTGATGCTAAAGTCTCCAGCATCCAGTCTTTACCACCCCTTCATGTATATACCAAGGAAATGAATACTTTCCCAGTGCAACCAGTCACCAAAAATTCCATACTTTATCAGCGGCTGTCGCAGCATGATAGTATGAGTATTATTTGATCAATATCTTATAGCCGAGATTACGCCGCTGACTTTGGTCTTGTTTCATTAGGGTATGCTGAAATTGCCGAGACGGGTTGGTCTAGCACACTGTGGCGAAGAAGAAGATACCACCAGGTATATGATGAGCCGTGAGCTGAAGGCTTCCACCAATGCTTGACAATCGATCAGTACTGAGATTTATCTTTGCTCTAAGACCTTCAGTAGCCGTGGTGTCGTATCGTCGTTAAGAAGTTTCAGGTAACGGTCTATACAAATTTGTTCAGCCAACGGGCTTCTGGACTGTTTGGCTCCACTCACCACAGCTCAACCACCGCTTCCCCACAGCTCCCAAGAATTTCCTCAAAATTCTCAGAATTTTCAAATCTTCGCTGGAATCATTATCCAGCAACAGCTTCTGCGTTACTATAGCTGCAGCTTTGAACACTAAAAATGTGACAAATGGTGGGATCAGGTTGAAGTCAATAGGCCGCGTATCCATCATGAAGAGCTCAACTACGCTGGTTACAGTGCTGAGGATGGAGTTAAGGGATGTATCCGCGATAGAAGTGCAATTTGCAGTCGGGCCAGAAGTAAGAGGAGGGACTTTGCTCCCATGCTCAAATGCAAGAAGCAAGGCGCTATTTCACGTCAACGTTAATATTCACACCCACAAACCCAAAATTGAAAACGCTGATAGCTCACATGTTACATAGGTTCAAGCCTCCGGCATAGAGGTAGATTCCCTCTCCGACTTCCAGGTTTAGAATCCCCTGGAGAATGACTAGCGTCTGGACAGTCAAGATCAGCTCTTCGACGTTCAATTCGTGCTCTAGGGGGGAGCTGTTGAGGGTGGCGTGGATCTTTTCAAGAAGGGATGAGGCTTCGACGAGGCGTGAAAGGCGGCAAATAGAGCTTGTGCGGTTTTGGTTTGGGTCATGAGTCGGACAGAGGGCGGGCTTGAGGAACTCCTGAATGGAAAGGGATCGTGAACTAGTGATAGGAGGTTGCGGCCCGGATTCGATGGCGATGTATCTAGAAGCAATAAGTAGATGACACAAAACTAACTCTTGGAGCTTTGTCAAAAGGGATTCACCGGTCCAGGATTAGAATCCCACACCAAATCAACGTTGTCTCCTCTCGCTGTTCTTCCTCGTTTTGAGAGGCAGATGGTGATGCATCTACCCATGGGCGAATCTCGAGTGCATCTGCGGCTCTGATGATGGCTCCAATTGAGATGTAGGCTGCTGGGTAGAAGCCGTGCCCAACCTCGAAGAGAGTTACCAAAATCCTTGACTGGACGGTCAGAAACGAATTGACACCGAGTCCTTCGATTGAGGCCAAATTACTCTTAATATAGAGATACATGGACTTGAACTCGGAATTGTTATTGCTATCTTCTGGAGACGAAGGTGGGGTAGCTGTGATAAGAAGAATGCACAAGCAGAGTAATGCAAAGTCCAGAGGAGCCTCGTCCCACGTTGGCGGGAGTCGGCTCCGTAACCTAGAGACCGAAACAACGGGAAACCACGGCTCGATGGCCTGGCAGTAAGACAGAAATACATCCTCAGGGGTGATGGTAGCAAGCTCCTGGATAATAGCCTCCTTGAGGTGGTCAAGCGCGAATAGGCCCGAGCGAAAAGATACTGTAGGCTTGGGGGACGGCGAGGGAGTTAGACCCGGAGATCCTACCTGGGATATTTCGTACTTGCATTGACGACGGAGCCTGTCAAAGTCCGTTTTAGCAATGTCACACTATACGAGTCCACGAGATTCGCTCTTGTACCGTTTGCAGAGTCCACAGTCTGGAAGCGCCCTGTCGCATCGCCTTTTCTGGGTGCTGCATCGTGTGCACGCTTTCTTGGCAATCAATGAATAGCGATCGGAAGGCATCCTGGCGAGTAATTGGAGGCAAACCTCTGTAGAGATGTGTTATGAGCTGGTCGTTGTGGAAGGAGGTGCGGGGACCAGCGGGGTTGAGTGATATAAAAGCGGGTAGCTGCGGGGTGGGATGCGGGATGTGCGGGAAAATGAGCGGGAAAGTGTGTTAAAGTATTGCTTGCTTAGTAGGACATGCTTAAAAATCCATATTATATGCTTGCAATATCGGTCGGCATTGAACCTGTAAATATTTGCTTGGAGTCTAATCTAATAGCAAAAGTATAAAGTTAATGCGCCTTCCTGCCAACAGATGCCCCCAAAGCTCTATCAGCGCTCATATGTTCCCGCAAAACGACGAATCAATATCAATCAGCCATAACACTAAACAACTCATCTTACTTGCTTCACCATGTCAGAAATTAAATCAGTTGCACTCGCTGGCGTAAGAATATCCAAAGAGACATAAAAAGACATAACTCACATCTTCATCAGGCTTCCGGCAATGTTGGACCCCATGTCCTTAAAGCGCTTGCTGAGGCAAAATTCCAAGTCACTGTTCTCACCCGATCCAAGAAGCCAGGAGCATATGACTCCAGCGTCAGAGTCATCGAAGTTGACTACACGTCTCTGGAGTCTTTGACTGCCGCACTCCAGGGCATCGATGCACTCGTATCCACTGTTAGCGGTACAGCCATCGAAAACCAAACCACCCTCATCGACGCTGCGGTTGCTGCCGGCGTGAAGCGTTTTATTCCCTCCGAATATGGAAACTGCACCACGAATCCCAAACTCGAAAGCTTCCCCGTCTACTCCTCCATGACCAAGATCAGACAGTATGTGCAAGAGAAGGCAAAGGCTGGAAAGATAACCTGGACTGTTCTTGCGTGTGGTGGCTTCTTGGATTTTCTATTTGCTAGACCCATACTATTCGATTTTGCAAATCACAAAGTAACCCTATATGACGAGGGTGACAATCGGATGAGTTCGACTTCTCTTCCAAATATTGGGAAGGCTATTGCTGGGATACTAAAGAACTCTGCGGCTACCAAGAACAGGATTGTGCGAACTTCCGAGATAATCTTGACGCAGAACAAGATATTGAAAATTGCACAAGCCCTGAGACCGGATATAGAGTGGGAAATCAGTACGGCCCAGACAAGTTCGATTCTGAAAGAAGGTCTGGATGGAATCAACACTGGCGATTTCAGCACGCCGACAATTATGAAGATCATTGTTTCTACAGCGCTTGCTGGTGATGTGTATGGATGTGCTTATGATGAGACGGACAATGAAATTCTTGGTATTAAGGAGTTGACGGACGAAGACTTTAAGAGGCTTGTTGCTGAGAGACTTGGTTAAAGGGGACATGGATGAAATGTAGAACTGCTACGATGAGAGATGTTCCAAGATTTGAAGGAAAAATGATAATAAATCGTTCCTATTCAAAAGCTGTGGGCTAATTTTCTCGTGCAATGTCCGTTCGCTCTTTTCCCAAGGGCCTATTGCTAGTAGAAGGGTAGAAATCTCACTCGTTTGTTAAAAGTGAACGATTCTTACAAGATAGGGCATTAGTACGGAGTAGCCAAACCCTGTCTAGGCTATTGTTATGGTTATAGCCATCTAACATTCGCAAAAGAAAACCCCCGTTGCCTTATTGATCTTGCCTCCTAAAAATCGATCAAAAATGCGAGAGCAACCACAAATATACTGCTGATACTCAAGCTTTCAATCGACAGCCGGATTGCTGTACTCTTCTTACTCGAAGCGGAAGCAGTCGTGCCCACATCCGAACTTGACGTTGCAACCTTCGTCGTAGTTGTGACCGTTGTAACTGCTCCCGGTAACGTTGTACCTTTGATCGTTGTCCCCTCAATGGTCGTCGCAGAACTTGTAGACAGTTCAAAGGATGTCTTAGCTACTTTACTCTGCGTTGCTGTACCGGAAATTGTAGTGGTAACTGTCTCGGGAAATAGAATTGTTTGCGTCGCAACACTCTCGGAATGCGTAGAGGGTGGTATGGTGGTTGCAGGCACTGTGCTCCCAGGCAACGTCGTCACATAGGTGATGGTCACCTCTCCTCCCAAAGCACTGGCGGGTATCACAGGTCCAACACCTGATGCCGTGAACTGTGTTGGAATGGCAAGCGTCGAGGTATTCGGCTTCGCAGAGGGGTTGTCGCTATATATATTCCCCTTGGTCCCATTCGTCAGAGTATAATCCCCGGTCTTAAAGTTTGCAAAGTCTCCCAAGCGAGAGGTATACGTTCCCAAACTCAGGGTCCCAAAACTTGTGTCCTGGAGGAAGAAATTGGTGGTGAATTTGTCGTAGCAAAAAGGTAGTGCGAGGGTCGGCATCGCGAGGCAGGAGAGAGAGGTGATGCAGCATAGTGAGGCAGTGCCATCTTCTGCCCCAGAGCGCGTTGACAAGGGAAGAGGGGAATGGAGGAGGTCGGTGTAGAGGTTTTCGAAGTCGGGGCTACCGATTTGCGGGGTGTGAGAGTTCGTTGCGCCTGGAGGTGAGCAGAGCGACAGACCCGTGGGGCAGCCGGTGGCTCCGAGTGACGGTAAAGCAAAAGAACATACCGCAAGCGCAGAAAGGAGAGGATAATAGAACATATTCATCGTGGTAATCCGGCGTTTCCTTATTGAAGAAGTGGTTGAAGGAGACATGAGTTTTGGCATGTGTCGACACTGCAAAGTCAGTGCCCAATTCACTGCCGGCCAGTGTATAGGTACCCGGGTATACATCGAGACACGAAAAAAAAAAAAACAGAAGGTTTGAGGATATAAGAGAAGTTGCAAAGCAGATTAGGAAAACCAGAAATATAGCCAAACAGACATTTGCGATTTCGTGCAACTTTGTGACGGAAACCTGCAGCACTACGAAAACTAGCTTAAACGAGGCACTTGTGTTCCACTTGTGAGCGATTTCAAGTGCTTAGAGATGATACATTGATATAGTAGAACTGGTATGCATACCAGCTGCAACTTAAGATTATAAGTATTCTGCTTGGCGTGTGAGCGAGTGTAGTATGCATATTTTACGAATCCTTCATCACTAGCCTTTGGCTTAAGGCCCCCGAAGAGACTTCCATTCTTGTACTTCACCATACCAAAGAGTGAGGGTAGACAATAATGACTTGGAGCAATTCAAGTCAAGTACGTGCAGTGAGGGTCAGACGACCCCTAAAATCCTCCACGCTAGTCCCTCGCTTAATCCAGGGGCAAGGTTATATAGAGACCGCACAACAGACCCCAGTTCATAGCCTCTGGGTTAAATACTTGAACATTACAGCTACAGATATGCGATAATTTGTTTTGTAGATCATGCTCTCCGTGTCTCAAAAGCTTTGAATTACATAGCTCTGGTCGTTCTTCGCGTCCTTGTCAAGGGAGTTCAACCATCCTCAAATATCAATTATTGAACGCGCGGGATAATGGCTTACTAGGCAAAATTCGGTGTACTATGATTGAAGATCAGAATCAAATTAACCAGATCCGAATGAATAGATGTAGGGATACATACGGACTATTCAGTCAGTCGTCCGGAGAACACCAAAGAGTACTTCTCGACTGGGATTCATGCAACTGAGGCTAGGACGGTCTCAGTCCATCAAGACATATAGCTATAAGAATGCGTGGAACCAATTCACTTTCCTTTGGTAGATGTTAGGTGATCGCCAGGTTGGGGATTATAACGTTGAACTCCTACCTAGCAATGCATAGCCTCTATGGGATCCCAAGAAGAAGTGAATGAATATGAACAACCGTGAACCATATCACAAGATTCAATCTGCACCAAGAAACACCCCCCCAATCATTAGCAAGCTGAACGTGGTCATGTCTAAAACCTTCATTGTATCTTCAACCATAGATCGGCATTCGGCTCCACTGCCTGCGCACACCCTCATCAAGACAACACATGAGCCGCAATTGAGGTAAGGAGGACTTTGAGTATTTCCTATGAGCTCAACGCTAGTCCAGCTGCGATCAACAGATGCGAAAGCCAGGAAGACTCCGCTTCAAGGAGCATAGCATGAAGGGAGATATGGCCGTCTTGCGACAATACCTGGAAAGCTGCTCTACAACATACCGCCACGTCCCCTTGACACAGCAACACTTCATCCAACGCCAAATCCGAGAACTCCTTGAGAAGAACTTGGGCCAAGATGTTCTGGAGACCGAGGAGCGGTGGTCAAACTTCTTCCAAATTCTGCAGAGACGGCCCCTCGGGGAGACAATCCGCATCAAACGCTTTATTGTCGAGATGTTCCGCAAGGAATATCACATCAGATGGGAAGTTTGTTTCGGCAGACTTGTACACAGTTATGCTATGGCGATGGGTCCCTTAACGGATACCTGCAAAATTGAGATCCAGCGTCTGGCCGCGCAAACGCTAGTTGAAGAGACCAAGACCAAGAGCGGCTTTGCACCAGCGGCGGAGAAGAAGTACGACGCACTGCTAGTTCCGATGCTTCGTCGCGTCGAGGAGTTCAAGAAGGCGAATGTAAGTTATGTGAATTGCCCCACACCCACTATCACAAGGCTGAGATGATATAATTTACTGATGGAATGTCAATGTAAAGGGGTCGTGGAACAAATGGAAGTACAAGTTCCATGACGTGCGTGGGGAAGTTCTTGAGGAATCGCCTTTCTCTGATGAGCCATTCGAAGGCCTGTTTTCTTGCGTCAACTATAACGGGGATGAAGAAAGACGCGCGACACTTACAAAGATCAAGACAACAACTCCGATACGTCCAAAGGTCAAGACAAAAACTACGCAGCTTCGAAGAATAGAGACAAAGAACACCGAGGCTCTCAATGATTGAGACAACAGCACCCAAGCTTCCAACAAAGGAGACGACACCACCGACATATCTCACAATTGAGACTCCGGACATTACCGATGACGATCTTGTACTATTATAGGATCGCACATTGGAGTACGATTCAATACTAGGTTGGCGTTTTGATATTACCGCATAATGAGCGTATGAATACCCCGGCATGGATGGAAATAGGAGCCCTTGAGGTCAAAGAAAGGAGTTGGCTGGCCACACCACATTTCATTGCCAAAAATGGATTGAAGTTCTGAACAGCGTATCCCTGCAGTGTGACAATCATTTATTTCATCGCTATTTTCATAAGGGGTATCCTAACAAACACCTATACCAAGTCCCACGCACAAACCCCAGCAAAACCCATCCCAGACCGCCCTTTTTTGTTGAGGTATTCTCTTCTTGTCATGCCCCGGGCATCTTTCCCATTTACTGAAGTAACAGCATAACAGCTGACTGTTTGACCGGGAGCACCCAAATCCTGCGCTGAAATATCGGTCCACCACCAAAAATCATTATTCTCCATGGCGACATAATCTTCTTTCCTCCCATCCAGCCCATTGATCTTCAATACAAGGCGGTACGGCTTCCCCTCTCCATTCTTCTCAAAATCCCAATGCTCGCACACTTTGCTGAATTGGAAACGCACAGTCTCTCCATTCACAGGTAATCGTTTCTGCGGTGGTGTAATTGAAACCGGAGAAATTCCGTGATCTTCAACAGAGCCGTAGATCTGCAGCGGCTCGGCGCGGGCTGCACCAAGGTAGTATTCCTCCCAGCTGGGAACACTTCCATCACTGCGGAAGAAATGGCTACGGTCCTGGGGAAAGTGTTTTATCCCAAAGTCGTCGTTCGACATAGTGAAATAGCTCGGGGTGAACTTCTTGTTGAAGACTTGATTACCAACATTGCCAGCACCCCAACAAGAGTCAAGCAATTTCCACTCGCCACCGTCGATCCGAACAGCATTCCATGCGTGACCTGCTGGATTGCATGGAGGGCATTGCTCGCCGGGTTGAAGAGCCGTGTACCCGTAGCCTTTGCCGTGCCCCGTGACCATGACCGCCTCCAGACCGGCTTTGAGTGCAATGGCAGTGTAGACACCGGCATAACCACCACAGACCGCAAGCCCGGATGCAATGGTGTCTTTTGGATCGACGTGCTTAACTCTATTACCAAAGAATGCAGCGGTGTCATATGCAATATTGTGATGGAGCCAGGTGAATATCGCGCGTGCTTTGTCAGTGGCAGACACAAATGGCCCGCAAAGAACATTAGCTAAGTAGCCGGTGGCATCTCCAGTTTCAGGAAGAGAATGGCGCGGGTGCTGGGCTGCAACTTGATCCGGACCAGAGAAATCTCTGCAGATTAGACACCCAGAAGTAGGAGGAGCGGCAGGCGCAGGCCGAGATTGAACTGCTTGAACCTGGCTCCGGGACGGCTTAGAACTCATATTGATGGGCGGCGGAACACCATTTGTTTTAGGTGCATCATCCACAGATATGCCTGTCTGCTCTTCCACGTAGTCGCTCAGATACTTCGCCTGCCTAGCGAATTGATACTTCTGGGGCGTCTGGCTACGACCATCGAAGAAGAGCAAGGTTGGATATGATTGAATACCAAACCTGCTTAAGAACGTCTTGTACTTCCCCACATCAACCTTTGCGAATACTAACTTGTCGCTGGCAAATGAGAAATCTTCAGCCACTTGCTTCCACACGGGATCCAATTCGACGCAGTATTTACAATAGGTTGTATAGAAGTCCACAAAGACTGCCTTTCCAGTCATAACCACACTATCAAAATTGCGGTCGTTGAGTTCTTGGATCACAGGGCCTGCTGTTCTCGTGAATGTTGGGGTAGGTTGGGGGCCGGGATTCGGTGTTTCGTTGGACCTGTTACTGAACCCCATGGAGAGTGCAGATCTTGTAGAATTAGGGGGCGGAAGTCTCCGGGGAGGCTGTTGGGGTGGTTTCTCTTCCTCCTCCTGTACGTTGTCGAAGTTGGTGGGTCTTGATGGCATCCTTGGTGGTCCGCTGGGTCTAGGAGGCATTTTGGGAGGCAAGTCACGGTCAACAACTGGAGGCTGTCGCATGGGGATGTTGGGAGACGACTTGACAGAAGTCAAGGGCACTTTTGGAGGATTTCTCCGCTCCTCGGCCTCCGCCTGCTCTCGCTCACGCCGGCTGGGGGGCAAAGGCGGAAGCTTTGCTTGGTTCAGGGCTGGCGGAAGCTTTCTCGCAGAGTCCACCGAGGAAGCATTGGTACTTGTAGACCCTGTCTGGCTTAAGGACATGTTCGATATGGCAGAGCTGTATGACATTGCCGACTCGTTTGATCCACGCCTGGCCAATTGTGTAGAGCTCTTTCGAGGGGGAAGAGCGGGAGAAGGCTGCGAGTCTTTGCGCGTGGGTAGTGGAGGAGGACCCCGTCGGGCTGGCAGAGGGGGGGTTCTAGCATTGTTTGTATTCGAGGATTGGGACTGGTCGCGATCGACTGGAGGCGGAGGTAGGAGTGCAGTGCCTTTAATACCAATCGGTAGGTTGTTGGCTTGCTTGGAAGAGGATGAACCGTAGGTAGATATGGGAGGATTGTTCGTGGTTTGGCCTCTGGAGGGGACACCAGGTCGGGTGGAAGAAGATGAGGGAAGAGGTGGAGGAGGTCGTTTACTAGTCGGATGGGGTTGGGGTACTGCGCCCAGACTCTTTCCAACACCCTGTTGGTTCAGAGCAGCGATGCGCGCCGAGAGCGACGTGAATTGAGGTTCTTCAACTTCAGTCATGGTGGTGGCGTGTGATGTGGGTAGGCTGGCTGGCTGGATATGCTTGATACCTACCTATAGGCACCTTCCGAGGTATTGGCTTTGGCTGGTGAATTTGCAGAAAAGAGACGCTGAAAATATTGCCTCCAGAATCCTCCTGCTCCTACTGGTACTGTACCTTGCTGCTGCAACGAGGGATTCAGTGATAATGGCAACCAGAAGAATAACAATAACAACAATAATAATAATAATAATTGATTAACGAACGAAGAGCAAGGAAAAGATCTGCTACGCGTACAAAAGTAATGTCTCCATATCCTGCTGTATTGAACGATAGAAGAAGAAGAGATGAAGAGAAGTGAAGAGATCTGTGATGTTGGAAGTTGGATGCAAAGTGAGGCTGTGTTAGAGTACCATTATGGCTGGGGCTGGGGATAGTGAATAGTACGTACTTTTTTTGGTGCCGCACTGAGGCAGAGTATTTTCACAGCCAAAATAGACTAATATGTTTCACCCTAAATCGTGATCATGTTCCACATTCGCCATCTCACTCTAGCATCCATCCGCATGGAATATTTATGGCTAATTAGAAGCAGCTTACTGCAATGCCACATCTTTGATAGGAGGCGGGGTAGATAGCAGATACTACGGTAAGGTAGATCAGCTAGGTGATCCAAATCTGTCTCTTAGGAACCGATGGAACATCTTTTCACCACTCCACCTATTGTTAGTAGGGCATAGCAAGGCATCTATAAACATTCGGGAATGATGAACAACCTGTATACTCGTGCAAGTATATATCTTTCCTGAAGCTTAGCTTTTTAGAGATAATTAGCCTATTAGTGGTCCAACAGTATCCACAAATGTAGTAGAACAACTTTATAGATTAGAAATTTCATTTCATCTCATTCCGGCCAGATCTATCTATCCAAGTCATAAAACTTTAAAGCTAGCGATGAACCGCTGTGGTATATAACATCCAGAACCCCTCCAATACTCCCATAATTACAGCTCGTGTGATGTGACATCTATCGTCACAGGCCCTCAACGCCAAACTCCCCGTCCCAATCATTCCCCATATCGCTAAGTATCGCACATAAAAAATACACGTGAACATCGTAGCTCATCATTCCACTCAAGGTATTATTTAAGGAGTCCTCCCACATCTTGTAAAGACAGCGTCGTTTGTTGCCGTTGGATTGCTGAATGTCCGTGTGCGTCAGATGAAGGATGGGAAGACTCTTCTTGCAGTATCGTCTGCAACTCGTAACTTCGAGGCTCATGTTTTCTCCTCGGACCGAGCAAGCCTCCTATGTCCTGCAGTAGAGCCGAAGAGCCTCTGCGGGCTGGCGCAGGAGACAGGCCATTCTCATATGACCAAGTCGAATATAGATGACCCCGAGTCGAACTCTCCCCATCTGTATCCGTCGTTCTTGACGAGCTGACCCTCGTAGGTTGATCCTCGTCTAGCAGACCACCCACATCAAAGAAAGAGACTTTCCTTGGAGTAGCTAGTGACGAGACTTCTCCAGGACTGTGGCCACCATCGTGAAACTTCATCAAGTCGACCTCGTCGCTCGATTCGCTTCTTCCTCCGGGAAATTGCCAGTCCCTTGAAATAATCTCCGAATGTCCCTTTATCACCGGAAGATTCCCTGCCACAGCCATCGGCGCTGGTCGAGGGGTTGGGGTAGCTCCTCTGAGCTCAGGGTCTACGCCCAGGCCCAAGTCTCTTACAAGATCCTCGTCGCTTCCCCAATGCCTCGTGACTGTGCCCCTTCGACTCGCCGTCCTCTCGATACTGTCACTCATTGATCCAAACTTCCATCTTTGTTTCTTGACACCTCTATCCCGGATGAAAGACCCCAAAACTAGCGAATTGGCAATCACGGTCGCAAACAAAATTTCGACTGACGCAAGGAGCGACCGATACTGTTGACTGCCATGACGATCGATGATATTAGGAATTCTATAGAGCGTTGTTCCAGCCGGTAGAAGAGATCCGGCGAACAGGAGAACCAATTGAGTCTTCCTTTTCAACCCCATTTTCGACCGGATGATGATTGGAATTGGAAAGAGCACGAGCAGCAAGTCTGTTATGACATTGGCAGTTCCCATTGTCAATAGTTGGGCGTAGCCTTGTCGACATTTCGGTCCTGGATCTGGCACAACTTGATAGTAATGAGTGAATGGCTGGCACTCGGCGATGTCTGCTATCACTACAGCAACAAATGTAATGAGGAAGAACCATCGTATAAATATGAGTATTCGTTCGTGGGATTCTCTCCATATACTAGATATCAGTCGCTTGAAGAATTCACTGATTGTGAGTTTGAGCATCCAAAGCCTTGAGCGTAGTTAGTACAATGATATCTGATAGAGTTTCAGGTTACACCAACGTTGCTGCATAGAAGATCCTCGAGACCAGGACAAGCCTACTGCCAATCGACCTGTGATAAATCTCCTGCTCGGTGAGGCCCGTCGTGATGGTATTGTTTGTCCCATACAGCAGTACCACATGAACCACTCCCATTCGAATGAAGAGTGGTATTATGCAGGCAAATGCCATCCAGTCCTCCTTGAACAACCTTTCCGACCGAATGAATCTTCCGCATACTCGGACGACTATAATGACCGCAGCAAAAACCGTACACCACCAACAGACCAACAACGTCGGTTTATCTTGGTAGAACTGTCGAGCCGGGGGTGCGGAGGAATAGATTCCCATACTGATTCCCACTGCCACGCCCGCCTACCTCCGCAGAGGGGACGAGCGAGGAGTTGTGTTGATTCGCAAAGGTAGGCGTATAGATCCAGGGCCGTCAATTGATCGCATTCCTGCCGGGACTTTTCGATAAGGGTAAAAGATGTCTTCGAAGATTTTGTCGCATGGGATGGGGCATGACAAAACTCGGTTCTTGCTGTCGCGCGGTCGCACAGAGGTTTGCGTCCTAGGGGGGCCTACAGGGACGCTATCGCGAGAGACAATCCCAGGGTTTCGGTCGCACTGAGACTACGGCTGCCTGCTTCCGAGGAGGACAACAATAGGATTGTTCCAACCTTGGGAGGGAGATTGTGGGGAAGGAAAGTCCAACAATAATAAAAGAACAGCAAGATGGTCCTCGGCGAGTTGAGAAGTTCGAGATTCGGGTTGTAGAGGAAGACGGTGAAGATGAAGGGAACACAGGAAGCACAAGGCTATGGCTAAGGATAGAAGTGGTGGACGCTGTGGCTGGGCTGGGCCTCGAACCCTGACTTTCCAGCAAATCAGTGATCGACTAGTGTTGACGGTTGCTATCAGTGTGATCCTATGGGCTGCAGGGTCACGCTGTGCAGGGGCATTTGTCTGACTACGGGTACAGTACGGAGTAGCTAGCAGAACTTCAGAAGGGAGTGGTGCTGTGATATTGACGTCTAAGAATTTGGTTTCTTTTCTTCTACAGCCCTCTTCTCTTTACTCTCCCCCTGGGCACAAGATAGATACATTGTTCAACACAACAAGAACTGAGAGACGATGGATGGGAAGAAAGATGGACGAATGTTCGGTCTTCGAAGGAAGCCGGACGTCGGCACGCGATAGATTGCCTGCCTCGTGGAGACTCTGACTCGTCGTAAAGATAACGCTTGCAAGGCAAAACTCTCGTGGGATAACTATGGATAACTACTGTATGGCATCGCGCACCGGATAGGTCAACGGTAATCAATTGTGGGCAACGCTGCCAGTTGAGGCGCTGAGGCGACGGGGGGGAGGACGACTTGGCAGCCGTAACCGTGGGCGCGGCGCAGCAGTCTCCAGAATCAATCCTAACTTGGGTGGATTCCTGGGATCTAGGATGTACTGTTACTACTTACTACTGTACTGTACAGTAGGATCTGGGATCTGCACAGCGCAACTTGCAACTCGCAAGTACATCCCATCCACCAGTTGTGATCAAGTCATGGCTCGCTCGTTTAAAAATATCTTCTTACTGACAGGCTACTCCGTATGGAGGTAGCACCGCCTGACAGGTACCAGCCGGCCTGTAATTGGTGAGAGCATCTTAGACGCGGCTGCTATCTATCAAAGTTTGTGTCGAACCACTATAAATTTAACTACCTACCCACTATAGTCTGTAGTAGTACGAGCACCCAGCCAGTGACCAGACAAGCCAGCCTCTGTAGCGCTGGTGATCATCACCTAATCCTTATCAAGATCAAGGTCCCCGTCGTAGTCCCCGACACTTGAAAAACCGGTGCCCTTCTCCCTCGCATAGAATTCCCAGAGATGTGGTCGTGGGGGACCAAGCGTAAGATAAATTCATAAGGGTCCTAAATCAACCATGACGATACTGTAACGATGAATCGTGGCTGTCTGTGACATTATTACAGTACGAAGCAGAGTAGGGTAGGGCATCGTACACATACCTTGGAGGATAAGAGTAGAGTACCTAGATAGACTGTTCCTGGGAAAGAATCCTTTGACATAACAAGGTCGTTTATCAAGTTTCCTTATTCGTTATTCAGTTGCCTTCGGGGATGTGGATGTGATGAATAGGAAGGGGAAGGGAAGGTAGTGTGGTCAGTCCCCAGCACATGGTTGCAGTCGGTTGCAGACCGACCTACTAGTACTGTACTGTACTTGCAGTGGCCGAGGTGACGGTGACTAGGGTGCCACGCGTGGGAGCGCAATAATAAAATAACGAGGTAACTTGATGCGATTCTGCGAAGGATGCATGTTGGGGACTGCGGGGAATTTCGGGGCTCTGTTCTGCTCTTGAAGGAAGAAACACTTCTGTACAAGTATGAGTACTGTAACGCAGTTTATGTTTCCTCACAAGAGCCTACTACCACCTCAACAACTTATAAGCAATACGGAAAAGCCTATACCTAGAAAGCGACTTGTTCCACGCTGGGCTGGTCCACCAGTCCCAGCAAGCAGAGCACAGCATGCACTAATTGCAAATCCGGTTCATCATCCGAAGAGGGGAAGTGCTCCATCCAGACCAGACCCGAAGCACAGCTTATTCTTCGGGCCGTTAGTGTACAGTAGATGAAGTCATTTGCTTTACAATATGAACCAATACCAGTGTAAGTATGTAGCGGCGTCAGAAGACTGCGTCGATCGAGAGAGACGTGTGATCTACGTATCACGTTGTTTTACTTGAGTACCCCGCCCTCGCCTTGCTTTCAAGACTGGTCTATTTATATCAACACTTCCTATACACCACCACTTCATATTACAGTACCCAATATCTTCGTACCGAGGATCCAAACATCATGTCGCACTCATTCCACGTCTCTCGCAGTGAAGTACATCTCAAATGGGACAACGCGCTGAAACCAGTGCACACGGTTGACTCTGGTACCGAAGTCACGTTTGATCTCATGGACGGAGGATACAATCAGTTCACAGCTACCTCCACCGCTGCTGACGTTGGCAATTTCGATGCCGCATTTGCTGACCCGGCTTTCGGGCCTGTCTATGTGAATGGGGCCGAGGTAGGAGATGTGCTGAGGATTGAGTTTTTGGATTTGAAAACCGCGACTTACGGGTGGACAGCTGTGCTACCTGGAAGTTTTGGATTCGGCCTACTAGCGGATGAGTTTCCTGAGGCGGCTTTGAAGATTTGGGATTTGGAAACTCATAAGGAAGAGGGGTATACGGTGTTCAAGGAGGGTATTCATATCCCCATTCGACCCTTCCTCGGTGTTGTCGGACTTGCTCATGGGGAAGAGGGCCAGTTCAGCACGATCCCGCCATATGATACTGGTGGGAATATTGATTGTAAACATATTGGAATCGGATCGATGTTGTATTTACCTGTCAAGGTCAAAGGGGCACTGTTTAGCTGTGGAGATGGACATGCAGCGCAGGGAGATGGCGAAGTTTGTGGAACTGCAATTGAGACGCCAATGAAGGCCAAGGTCAAATTGACCGTAGAGAAGGGGAAGCCGTGGGTAGTCAGTCCGCATTATATTACCAAACCAATTGGAACAACGGCTGTGGAGAACAGGGGAGAATATGCAGCGCTGGGCATCGATGCTGATTTAAGAGAAGCAAGCAGGAAAGCTGTGAGGGGCTTGATAAATTGGTTGGTAGGTGAAAAGGGCTTGACTAGGGTCGAGGGTTACATGCTTGCAAGTGTAGCAGGAGATCTGAAGATTGCAGAGGCTGTAGACATGCCAAATTATGCTGTCGCATGTAGCTTACCTCTGAGTGTATTTGTAAAGGCGCCATATCTGTGAAGGATTGGAAAAGGCTCATGATAGCACGTGATATTGTAGAGTAGGTATTGAAAATGTATTGCGAAGGGAAGAGAGAAGGCTCATGATGTTGCAAATTCCAGATGTGGCAACATTAAAGGTAGGCTTTTACTTGCTCCTCGGTCCATTCCCAGAACCGAGCCGCTACTCCAGTGCCCCCTTCCGCTTCACTCTTGATTGAAGCCACGACATCCTGCTTCAGCTCTTCGAAACGGCCCCAAGGTTGGACTATTCAAATCAGCAGTTGTAAATTTAAATAAAGAAGAAAACTTACTCCATGCACCGTTCTTTGCAGGTGTGACTTCTGGTGAAAGGCCGGCGAACAGCTCAGTATAAGCGCCGTGGATAGGAGTATATAGAACGAAACCGATTATAAAGTGTTGAAAGGAAGGTGTGTGGCGTGTGAGCTCTGTTTTCAAGTTCCCTGGATTTAAGGCCTTGTACGTTAGCAAGGGTTTTATACGCATCGAAATCAACATACCACACTGATTATTCCATCATTGCCATGACGTTTGGCATATTCCGTGGCGTGAAAGATATTCCCAACCTTGCTGATTCCGTATTTGGTCCATGGGCGCTGGTCTCTCTTGTAGTCTAGGTTGTCCAACTCCACTCCACCGCTGGGGGCAAAGGTTTCAGCAGCAGAAGAAGACACCCACACGACTCGCACAGTTCCGGTTGGGGCTGACTTTGCAGTCTTGATCAAGATCGGGGTCAAAAGTTTTGTGAAGAGAAACGGGGCGAGATTGTTGGTTCCCAATTGCAGTTCATATCCCTGTTTTGTCTTGCTGCCCTGGGGTGGTATCATCACTCCGGCGTTGTTCCACAGCACGTCTAGTTTTTCTTCCTTGCTCAAGAATTCTTCGGCGGAGGCTTTGATGGTAGTCAGATCGTCGAGATCGAGGTGGAGGTAGACCAATTGTCCTTTGGAGTTGGGGAAGTTTGTCTTGATGGACTCAATTACCCGCGTGGCTTTCTCGGCGGATCGGGCAGCGATGTAGACTTTTGCATTATGTGAGTAGAGGATCTGGGCCAGTTCTTGACCAACGCCGCTGGACGCGCCTGTGACAATGAAGACCTGCAGTGGTTATTAGCCTTGGACATAGCTTCTGGGGTTGTTGCTGCAGCCAGCCAGGGTATTCTACTTTGCCTGTCTGGTCTGGGGCGTTCTTCTCTGTGAACAGCGGCGTTGGGGGAAATAATTGACTCCACATCTGGCCCATTTTGTTGTTACTGCCTACCTAGGTAGTAGATAGATGATTGATATTGAAGGGTGACAAGATAGAAGAGGAAGAGATTAGGAAGTAGATGAAATGCGCCTCACACGACCATGGCAGGTTCCTTGCCATGACGCAGAAAACGTGCTTTTAGAGACAGATTTGGTCGGTGCCGGATAGCGCGGGAGGAAAGCCTAGCCAAAACCATATTTGAAAGTTATGCATACTGGCATAGCTACCTACCTTGGCAAGCAGAAGGCGAATGAATTCCTTGGTGTTGTGATATACTGGAGAATCTCAAGGTATGAGATGGGTAGGAGTAGGAGCAGGAGTAGACGGAAGACGAAGACATGCTGACATGTTGTACCTCCATAAGTAAAAGACGTTGGTCGAATTTAGTTCCCGCCCCATGCACATGATTCGATTCGATCCCATTTTTATGTTGCACACCGCACCTTATAAGCATAATCATTTTAAGCTTTTCTACTGTACGTACGGAGTATCACGTGGACGCGTAAAGAAGGGATCCAAGGTTGTTTTGATGATTATCATCAATACCATCGCCCTACTATACAGTACCTACCTTGGAATACACCATTCTTGCAAATCCTACATCTAGTGATCTAATCAAAACATACTCGTACGTGTAGATACTCGTACGTATATGCATTACTCCGCACTCCGTACCCCGCGGCATTCAACTTCTCTAGTGTAGTAGCGTATCCTTACACCCGAACTTTGTCTAGGTATGCATATATGGCGCAAACAACATCAGATGACATAAATCACACCATATGAAGTAATCCAGTGAAGCGGATGAAAGCGACTAGGTTTCTCCGCATTCGCGAGTATAAATTTTCCTCATTATAGCAATATTTCTACCTTGTTGACTTCTTACTTTGATTCTCTTTTGTTCATCAAAATCCAAACAATGCCTTACCAAACCTACAAAAAGATTGCCTTGGTCGGAGTGAGTACTCGAGATTATTTGAAGTCCGGTCAGTCTCATGATATTATAGGCCACTGGGAATCTTGGCGCCGTGGTACTCCAAGAACTTCTCGCATCTAACCTCTTCGAAATCACCGTCCTTACTCGAACATCTGGCACAAGTACCGGCCCTCCTGGAGTCAAATACATCAAAGTAGACTTTGATTCCTTCGATTCATTGGTCACGGCTTTAGAAGGACAAGAAGCTCTGGTATCAACCGTAGCGTCTGCCGCAGTTCAAGCACAGAAGCTACTGATTGATGCAGCTGTCAAAGCAGGAGTGAAACGGATCATTCCATCTGAATTTGGGTGCGATCTCCACAACGTCAAAACACGCGATTTGCCTGTCTACGCCGCGAAGGTTGAAATCGAAAATTACTTGAGTGAACTTGCTGTAAAGGGGGTCAGTTATACATTGGTTTACACGGGGCCATTCTTAGACTGGGGCCTTAGAAACGGAACGTTCTTCAATTTCAAGGGCAGGAAAGCGGAGCTGTATGATGGTGGCGATCAACTTTTCAGTACGAGTCGCTTGTCAACCATCGGAAAAGCAGTGCGAAGGATCCTTACCCATCCTCCAGAGACGGCTGACCGGGCCGTCTGGGTCAAGGATATCGATGTATCGCAGAAACAGTTGCTGAAATTGGCACAGGCACTGACGCCCGGCGAAGAATGGGAAGTGAAGGAAGTTGATACTGCCGAGCTGGAAAAGCAAGCTCGGGAGGAGATACAGAAGAAGAACATAGGACCAACGACCATGCTCAATCTCATCAGGCGAGCCATCTATGCTCCTGGGTACGGCAATAAGTTTCAGCGCGTGCATAATAGTGTACTGGGAATCAGAGGGATGACCGAGCCGGATTTGGAAGAGCTTGTACTTAGCATATTTGGAACAAAATGATTGAGCGGGGTGATGGCAGAGGATGGATACTTAATTAGTGCAATATATTGTGTTTTTATAGGAAATGAAGTTGTGGTATAATATAGTAAAGAATTCGGGTTTCAACGTAACCTAGAGTACATAGGTAAGATATGTACCTGGTAGGTAAGTACCTAGGTAGTTAGGTGAAGTAAAGACACGATGGCTCGATGCAGTAGGTGGGGAAGAGTGGAAGGGTCCTGGGCTTAACATGCCGCTTTTAGGCTGTTGCTTCGGTGTCAGGGCGATAAGCGCGCTATCGGAATTTCAGCTGCCCAATGCTTTGCTACAGCAGAGCAACATCTCTCTATTAGAGACCTCTATAGTTGTCGCTGCAACTACTTACAGCTACAAATAGAGTGGCCGGCCTACATATATCCAGTCGACCTCAGGTGGGTACCTGATATCACATCGTTATGACCACCCAAAAGCCCGCAAATGCCAGCTCTGGCGCCCAAGGCATGGATGCACCCGAAGATGACCGCGATATAAAGCTCCAGAGAGTTTCTGCAGATCTGCTAGCTGACCTAGAAAGCTCATTGAAGCCATTTTTATGGAAGACCACCAGCTCTGGCAAGGCTAAAGTCCGCCGCCGCGTGCGAGTCCGAGCGACAGACAGACTGGTGATCTTGGTAACGCTGCCTTTCTCTGTATATTTACATCTACAGAACTATGGCTAATGCTCAATGAATCCTTTAGCTAGAACCCTTCCAAGAACTACCTCAGCTCCTAGACCCTCACCTCGACAAGCTTGTGCCCATCCTTGCGAATGCTTTTCTCGCAGACCTACAATCTCCCCCCTCGAAGAACCAGCATGCTGTCGACTCACAGCTCTTGGTCCCAGTCTCGCGCTCAATATGCAGGCTTCTATACACATTCTGCAAGATCAGAGGAGAAAAGGTAATTGTCCGCTTTCTGAGCACCGAGACCAGGCATCTCGAGCTTCTACTTTCCGCCATCGAAGCAGGCAGCGGCAAGTCTGCTACCACATCAGATGCATGGGGCTGGGAGGAACGGTATATCACACTTCTCTGGCTCTCTCAGCTCCTACTAGCACCCTTTGACTTGGCTTCCATCTCATCTGCAGACACTGTTGATATCACTCAAGCTGCCGTTCCTCACCTAGAGTGGCCACCCAACGTTCCAGCTGTAGCTTTACGAGTCATACCACTGGCCATCCAATACCTCTCCTCGCCGGGTAAAGAGCGAGATGCGGCCAAGATTCTACTCGTACGCATAGCAACTCGCAGGGATATGCAACACCTAGGCATTTTGCGGTCCTTGGTTCGGTGGGCAATTCTCGAGCTTCAACCATCAGAAGTCATCCAGCCAGCGTATCACTACATTGGAATTCTGTCATTCATTGCCGGCGTTCTGGTATCCTCCATTGGTACCACCGATATGAGTCCATTCCTTCCTTCCATTTTCCAGCTCTCTCAAGACATCTCGAGCTCAGAAAACGTTGTTTTTAACGCCATCCAGAGTTCGGCAGTAGCTCGAAAGACTGTGATCAAGGTACTCCGCTCTATCGCTGCTCTTGACCTTTCCAGTAACTCAGAAGGCTCAGAGAGAGTCGAATCTATCATTGGTACTCTTCTGGAATACATTTCTGATTTAGCTACTCCTGTCAGACTTGCTGCTAGTAAGGCCTTAAGTATGGTCGCATTGAAATTAGAACCTGAAATGGCAGCACAAGTTGTGGAAGCAGTCATTGATTCTCTTGCAGCTGGTGTAAAATGGCTCGAACCACCAGTCAACAACCGGGGTTTCCATATATCCAATGCCAACCCGCTGGAGTGGCACGGCCTGATTTTGACACTCTCGCATCTGTTGTATCGTCGCTCTGTACCCTTAGAAAGTCTTGACAGCATTCTCACGTATCTTGCCATTGGTCTTTCATTCGAGCAGCGATCTACGTCGGGAAGTTCTATCGGCGCAAATGTTCGTGATGCATCTTGCTTTGGGATTTGGGCACTAGCTCGAAGATTCAGTACAAAAGAATTGAGTTCTGTGACAATCAAAGCTGCAGCTCTTAGCTGTACACAGAAAGCGTCTGCCCTTCAGTGTCTTGCCACTGAATTGGTGATTTCCGGATGTCTGGATCCTGCTGGGAATATTCGACGTGGGGCTTCAGCTGCTCTCCAGGAGCTTATTGGACGTCATCCGGACACTGTCGATGAAGGCATCCAAGTTGTACAAGTGGTTGATTATCATTCAGTTGCCCTGCGCTCGAGGGCTGTACAGGAGACGGCGCCACAAGCTGCTCGGTTGTCAAGTCACTACTATGAGGGACTTAAGCTAGCTCTACTCGGATGGCGTGGTGTGCAGGATAATGACGCTACAATGCGAAGGACAATAGCTACTGGTTTTGGAAGTGTGGTCTGGACCAATCCGGATTATACCAAAATCCATTTGATCATCACCGACCTCGCTTCTCGTTTACGGTCTTTGCCAGTACGAGAAGCTGGAGAAGCACATGGTTTGATATTGTGTATGGCGTCGGTGATTAATGGTTTGGAGTTAGATGTTTCAGACATAAAGTCGGGACTTGAGGGAGACTTACACGGTTTTGTTCGCAGTCTCGGCACGTTCGAAGGTTCAATATTCGAATTTCTCAATACTTTCGAGACCTCCAAGTCTCCAGAGCTTCTCGCGGAATCGGCAAGTTGTCTAATGCTCGCGATGTATCCCGTTCTGCGAGCAGATGTCGCATTCCGCTTACTTTCTCCACCTGACGTGAAAGACCATAATCTCGTTGTCTCTTTCCTTGGAATTCCATCATTAAACCTTGATGCATCTTTCGAACATGTCACCAGATACCTGGGTACTCTTGAAGAGCTATACGAAAGCTCCCAGGTTTGTCGTCCAAATGAGGGGATCTGCAAAACTATGCGAAATCTTCTTTCCCGTTTTCTTGCCCTTGACGACATAGACCCCGTATCTGAAGCTGCCGCCGGTTTTCTATTCTTGCTTGATTCTAGCGACAGATCATCGGTTATTCTTGACTGGGTTCAACGTGCTAGCAGTAGCAATCGCAACGGGGAAGGGAAGGTCTACCTACGCGCGCTCCTGAAAGCTTTTCCAATTGCTCAGCAGCCACAAATCTTGAAAGTGGTGCGTTTGAGGTGGGCTGCAGGACAAGAACGCCATGATATCGAGATATGTTCCACGATCCTGTTGGCTCTGAGGACCAGCATGGCCCTCCCGCATTGTGTGGCTATTGTTGGGGAGGGCTTGGATGATTACACGACAGATGCGCGGGGTGATATCGGGTCACTCTTGCGAATCGAGGCTGCAAAGGCGGCTGGAGCCTTGAAAGAAAAGACTCTTTTCGGCAAGCTCTTGCGGGTCTCGGTTGAGAAACTTGACAAAGTGCGAGCCGAGGGACAGAGGGCATTGGGAGCGCCGACATTGCCTCTGCAGGAATACTTTGCCTACTTTCTGAACCTGGCCCTGCAGTCCGGTGAGATGGTCAGCTTGTTCGAAGGATATGTTGTCTCAGCAGATGCTGGGTCCGAAGATGTTGTGCGGGCGAGTAGGGCTGCGCTGGTGGAGTTTGGTCATGGGGAACTGGTGTGTGAAACGGTGATTATAGTAATGAAGAACGAGAGGGTTCAAGTGTCCGCGATGGAGGTGATGGGATTTCTCTTTGACATGGGGATCGCTCGGTTTGAGAAACAGATGTTTATGTTTGTTCAAGGAGCGCATTACCAGACCAAAAATGTCCGGAAGCTCGAGGCAGCTGTGAAGCTTTATGGTGGTATGGAGGCATTGAAGAAGCTGACGAGTATGCTGCTTCATCCATATCCGACGATTCGGAGCTTGGTCGCCGAGGAGCTTTTTGTGGCGAAAGGTGTTGGGTTAGGGGTTGATTGGGGAAAGGCAAAGAAAGCGGATGTTGAAAGTGTAAAAAGGGAGTTAGGGTTTAATTAGATTACCATAATATAAGTTTTATTTAAGCTGATACTAGATGTACTATTTTGACTTTATACTTAATTAAGGTATACTAGAAACCTAGCGTAGATTTCTTACATAGGCAATACACTTAGTTCTGGCCGTTATGCAGTTTATTTATATGTGTCGTTACATGCACATATAATAGCTGGACTGACCTGATTAGCACGTTTCCGCATAAACCCTTGCGCCATGTCCACGATGCCAGCTAGTATAACGAAACGTTTGAAGTCTTCAGCGACCTCATTAATAGAGCTCTTTACGAGGGAATTACAGAATAATAATAAACAAGTCTAATTCTCGGTCAACTGCAAAGAATAAGTAAACATTTGCTATCAAAGAATTGAATTGATCATAAACGTCAACTATAGCGCCCTTATCATCAGGGAGGCATCATTCTGCAAGAAGGTTGACCAGGCACGTTCTTCGAATGAACTCTATCCAAGTATAAAGTCCCTTAATCCGACGGCTACTTTAAATGGACCCATTGCGCTAGTGTCAACATACGCCTCTCCTAAAACATGATAGCGTTCTCCCCTTCTGCGAAGGACAACCGCCACTGAACATCCCAGGATCGCACATATAGCATCTCCCCGGAGAACAGTACGAGGAACAAGAGCAATACGGTTGATCCACGCAGCCGGTGCCATCTTGCTGGAGTAAAGTGCTCTAGTCGCTGCACGACCAAGTCGAAATGAACATGCCAACCGGAACCTCATATTGTTCCAGATCTCACGCAAGGCGATTGTTTCTGGATAGCCCATATCCACCGTCCTGCTTTCTGCCAACATCTGAATTAATCCTTCATCAATACAGTTCCCGCCTCGACCGGCAAGAAGAGTTCGAGTAGTGGCCTTTATGGACATTAGTACCGTATGTATATCTTTTGGCATACCATTTAGACCAAGAGACAGGCACTCCCGGTAGTGCTCCCACTCCCGATTAATATCGGCTTGATCCCACCAAGGCGTCGCTTGGGCTTCGGGTGGTGTATGGCGCGAAATCGTCCGCGAGATTCTGCCGATGACGAAGCCTTTCACCCGTAGCCTACCGTTCGCAAGAAAGGATACGACAGCTTTCTCTGCAAACAAGCTTGGCTCATCCTGTGGCTCTACAGAGTAACCCCTGTACGGCGTGGCCCAGTACGGGCACCAAGATGGCATTTCTAGCTGCCATTTATCGTTTCCCTGAGCACATGGAGGCTCCTGACGCCCCCTGACGACGATGATGTATAAGCTCCGCGTCGACTCGATAATTGCCCGAGCTGTATGAAGAAGAAGTTCAGGTAGTGGAGTATTGTAACGAACTAGTATTCGTTGCTGGATGTCATCGCTAAACAGGTTTAAAAAGGCGAAAATGTTGTCCTGTCTTTCGCGGCATTGCCTATCTAGGAAACAATCCAAAAATTGTTTGGGGCATATCTGCTCGTAGTCCAGTCTCAAGATTCTCACCTCATGATCACCCCGGAAGTGGATGCGCTTGGGACCGCTCTTATCTGAATCGATCACTATGCAGGCTTGCTGATTGTGGGGATAGACTTTCTCGAGTGACGAATATGGTACCACCTCGGAGCCGCACTGGATAACAAGGGAACGAGCGAACATCATTTCTTGCACAACCCAAGCGCGAGACCAGTAAGGCCGGTTCATTAGCTTGCTAAAAGGGTCGTGCTCGTTGCGGGCATGCTCGTTGCTAATACGAGTCATGATCACCGGAGATACTGGTGTAATGTTGCGCTTCTGAATCAAATCCATTGGCTCATAAGCAAAACTGCTATCATCGTCTGACGGTCCCAACCACGCAATAACCTTCTCTGCGAGTTTGTAAACCCAGTGCATTGACCCCACCTGTGCTTCCTTTTCATTTATATCGCATTGGTTAATGCATATCGCATCAACCCAGAGCATCCTGTCAGAATTGGGAAGTCGTAGGTGTTTAAGGGCTTCTGCGAGGTTACGAGTAACGGCGAAACGACATTTACAAAGAATGATAGACTCTGGATCTTCCTCTTTGCCCCAAACGTAGGAAAGTGCCTCATATGATAATACTTTATCAAAAGACGCTTGCGCGAGGGGTTCTTTCTGTCTCAGGTCGCACTTGATATCATCGGACGCAGGGCCAGGGTGGAGGACCAAAATACGCGCTGTTCCTCCCTTCAGGCGTTCGGGATAGATTCGACCCTCTTCGATTACCGGCCGATTAAGTCGTTCTAGCGTCGATACATATACTGGGACCTTCATATAATCTGTGTCTTCGGTCTTAGACCGTTCCCGTTTAACATGCTTCGAAGGTTTAAGTTCATTCCAGGAAGGCCGAATGTTATTATCAAAGGCCCAATTTCGTTTCTGGTTCATATCTTAAAAGGACTTTGAATCTTTAACTTAATAGTTCTTCGAAAAGATATCTGTGCTTATATTGATAAATGACTGTGGATTTAATATATTATCATCTAGAAAAAGAAGATAGGTTAAGGCTTAATATGAACCGGATAAAGTCTAGCTAGTAAAGATTATTTCATATTACCCGTATGTCACGGATCTGGTCATACGACATATCGCATGACGACGGCACATCGGCGTGGCACCAGCCTCATGATGCATGTGATGGAGATCGCCGTGTACCGAGGGGTCGCTACCCGGTCGCTATAGCGCCGCCCTCTTAAGAAGAGCTAAGAGAGGGGGAGGGGGTTGCTAGAAGACTGCAAGGAGGTAGCTACTAAGGGTCCATCGAGCATGAGGCGGGCAGACAGGCGAGGCGGGGGGGCCGACGTGCAACAAAGCGAAGCGAGCCAATTAAGAGGCGAATAAAACGTTACTCACGTGCAGTATACGCCCCACCCTTAAGTAAAGCGTAACACACGTAATATGCGCGCCCCACCCCTAAGTAAAGCGTAATACACGTGATATATATGCCCTCTCCTTAAGTAAGACGCTACCTATATACTCTCTTCTTATATATTACCTATATTACCTCTCTCTTAACTATAATTTAATCTCTTATTATGCCTCGGCCACGCCTCTCTTCTAATAAGAAGCGCGAACGAGATTATAAGCAGCAGGCTGCCTAGCGCATAAAAATTACTCTTCCTACCCAGGCCTCTAGTATTAACGCGCTAGCTCTAATCCCTCTATATCTTACTAGGGCCTTAATCCTCTTGCGGCCTCTAGTTCTCGGCACTCCGCTAGCTTAAAGCCGTCCAGCTAGCCCTGTTCCAGGTCTGAGTAGTAGTTGACTTAACTGCGAACTGCTCTCTACTTATCCTCTCTCCGCGAATTATAGTCCTCTCCTAGGTCCTCTATGTAATAAGAATCCTAATAACTATAAGGACCTTATAGATAATAAGGATCCTGATAATAGCTATAAGGACCTTATAGACTATAAGTGTCACAGGTGAGTCACATATACATAGAGGCTCAATATAGTATTTAACAAGTTTAATAAAAAAGAGAGAAGAATTTTTATCTGGATCTAAAGAAAAGTAAGCGCTCCCTAGTTAAGGCTTAGTAAGCTAAGCATAGGCATAGCCTATACTTTACCTCTAGAGCTTACTTCTTATATTACCTCTCTTCTTCTACCTATTTATAGATAGTAAATAATCTATTAGAAACTAAATAATATAATAGAAACTATAATAGCAAATAATCTAAACCTATAGATATTATACTACTATTCCCCTTATAAACTACCTAGGCTCTACTAGATTTTAGATATAGTCTATCTACTTAGTAAAGCTCTTCTACTTCTTACTTTTACTATTATCTCTATTTAGTTATACTATTTACTCTATAGTATTATAAATCTATATAGTATTATAAATCTGTAAATAATAAAGTGAATAGTTATTAATAAGCAAGTATAAGATCTCTTCTCCTACTTGTTTTTAAACTTTCTTTCTCTATTACTAATACTATTAAAGTAAGTATAATATACTATATAGAATAGTTAAGTGCTTAAGTGCTTAAGATGCCCTCTACCCCTTTTATATAGACTTTATATAATACTAATTAGAGTTAGATATCTAATATTATCTACTATATTAGCTATACCCTTTTAGAGGTTAACTATATTAACTAAAATATAAGTTGAATTCTAATTAGTTTCTCTTAAGTTCTACTAATTCTCTATAGTTAAACCGGTCCTATTCCTATGCTAAGTGCGCCTGTAAATGTAAAAACTATAAGAATCTATATATATTTATTAGATTCTAATTAAAAAAATATTACTAACTAATTAGTCCTTAAATAGCCTATATTGCCTATGCTATCTAGTTCCGCTCCTCTAATACTTTAGTATAGGTTTTAATTAGTTTCCGCTTCTTTTTAATTAGCTAATACTTAATATAATACAGACGCCTTTACTAATCTAGGCAAGGTACTTAAGGCCTAGAAGGCTTTAAAGCTATTATAGGCAGCTAGTCTTCTCTCTATATATTTTTGCTAGACTCTGCTTATTTTATATTACTAACCGCCGGTTTCTAGTCCTATTACTCTTAAGGTTACTAGTATAGTAACTAATATAGTTACCTAATAGGATTAAATATAAGTTATACTCTACTCTCTAATTATTTTCTATTAGTAACTATTTATTAGTGCTAGCAGTATTCCTATAATAGTAGTCCTTAGGCTATATTATACTAATCCCTAATTCTAGGGTTTTATATATAGTCTTCTAGCGTTTTGTAGCGGTCTATAGGCCTATTCCTATTTCTCTTTCTTTTTTTTTTTCTTTAAATAATAAATAAAATTTATTACACTTCTAATTATTCTAATTCCGCTTCTTAATATTTATGCTTTATATAAAATTAGACTTTAGCTGTTTTTATTCCTCCTCTTTTTTTTATTAACTTTTCTTATAATACTTAAGATCTATTATAGGTTTTAGGATCTCTATATTTAACTTTAAACTTATCTATAGCAGTGTTATCTAATAAATTTTCTAAGAGTTCTTATATTAGTTTATAATATCTTAACTATTTTACTAGTACTTCTCTAACTTTCTTTTTCCCTTTTACTTTATCTTAAGCATATAGAATCTCCTCTACCTGCTACTCTTTATATATCTTAAATAACTTAGGCTCTAGTTATTTATTATTAGTTTCCTGCCTAGAAAGAGGATTATAGCTTGCTAGATATAATAGATCTATATAAAAAACTAAGTAGATATTACTAGGGATCTCTAATAAATAAATAGAGACTAGTAATAATACTTTATCTATTATATATTTAGTATATTTATAGTTTAGACTCCTTTTTAGGCAGCTTATTTAATAGTTACATAGATCTAGCTATACCTTATCACTCTTCTAGTAGATTAGAGCTAGGGTTCTTTTCTTATTAGCGCTTTCCTCTTATTTTTAAGCGGACTCTATTATACTTAATTAATATAAGTTAGTAATCTATTTTATCTTTTCTATAAATACTTTAGCCCTTTTTGCTATAGGTAGCTTAGTACTATAATTAGACTCTAGTTATAATATAATAGGTGATAGGGCCTTATATCTATAAGTTATAAAAAATAGGCTTATTATAAGGCCTGCTTAATAATATCTATTTAATACTAATTAAGTAATAAAGAGCTATCTCTTTTAATCTGATTATTCTTAATTAATAAAGTTCTAAAGATATACTTATACTTCTTAATTTAACCTTTCTAGCCCTCTATTAGTTTATAGGTAGTATCTAGAGCTAAGCCTCTACTATATGCTAGTTAAGTAATAGAAAGTCTTCTAGAACATGCTTATCTAGTTTATGCCTCTATTGCTAGTAATTATCTGCGGTATACTATAGTAATATGTCTAGTATTTTATAAACCTTTTAGCGCACTTCTCAGCTTTTATATTAGATATTACTTCTAATATAATAGACTTGCTTAATTAGTCTTTAATTACTTAGAGGTAATAATTACCTTAAGAGTTTAATAAGTTAATTATAAAATCTATAGAGATCTTCTAAAAGAATTAGTTAAGGACTAGTAGAGGCTTTAGAAGTCTATATTTATATTCTCTTTATATCTTATTCCTTTTATAATAGTTATAGTTCCTTAAGAATTATCTTATATGTCTTAACTATAGTAGCTAGTAGAAGTTGCATCCTAGTATAAATATAGTAGAGTCCTAGCCTAGATATCTATAGACTAGTAAGTTATAGATAAACTAAATTAGCTTTATTCTTAGAATATCATTTTATTAAGCTATAGGTTCCTTTATATTATAGTTAGCCTCTATAGATACTAGTGCTCTAGAAACCTATAATTTACTACAGTGGCATAAGCAGCTATTTATATTAATATTATAATTATTTACTTAAATCTTTAATTTAATCTTACTTAGAAATAATTAGGCTCTACTCTATATTAAGCTAAGAATAGTCTAGTATAGTATATCCTTCTATGCTATTCTATCCTATAATTTATTTAGCTCTTTATCTTAAAAAGAGGGCCTAGGTTCTATATAGTCTTAAGCGGGTTCTATATAGTCTTAAGTAGAGTCTATATTAAACTGCATAGCTAGTAACTACCTCTTATATAAGCGCCCTTTTTCAGCGAAATTGTGAAATCCGCGCGGGGTAATTAGTCCGGGCGTGGCTGACTTAGCATGTTTCCGGCGAAAAAGTTTTCGGTAAAATTATAATTTCTCTTAGGCCTACTATTTTATTGCCTCCCTTAAATAGACGCCTACTAACTAATAATCTTATTATATTTTTATATAATCCTATTTATAGAGTAGTCATCTGCCACCTTTACAGCTCTTATATCATTCTAGGGCTCTATAGCTAAGAATAACACCTCTAAGCAAAGCTACACTAACTTACTAGTGACACGCTTAAAACAATAGTCCAGCTACTTAATAGCTATAACCTGCGGAATATAGAGGAGCTCCAAGAGCATAAACCTCGAGTTAAGGATAAGTGTCGCCTAATCGAGCACCTGGCAAGCTATAATAGCTTCTACTACCTCTAGCCAGATTATGATTTCTCTACGCGCCACCAGCTTAGGATAAGGGAGCATATGCCTGCCGTCTATAAGATCAAGGCTAAAGAGTATAAGGAGAGCCCGTTATGGAAAGAGTATAAGCTTCAGACGTACTTTACTAGGAAGGGTTTAATTAACTACTTTGTTATAATAGATATAAGGGTCTTACCCTGTGGATTAGTACTGGCTTTGCCTGTACGTGCCTCAGGCTCCTATATAGGGGGGTCCACCCCTTTTAAGTCGGCTTGAGGGATAAACCTCCCTTTCTCCTTCATCGAACTTATTTAATCCCAATCACAAACCGGTCTCTATATATACGTGGCAAACCCGTGACATTAAGTTCGATTAATCAACCTACTGGCCCCTGTAGCCTAAGGAGTGGAGT